CTTGGAAAAGGAGTTATTTGTATAAGATGGATTGTCATGATGACTCTTACAAACAAGGACAATGTTGTTACCTGCTGTTTTGTCATCTGAAACCAGTAAATACTGATTGTGTGATCTATCTAATTCTTTTTATTTCACTATCGAATTACTGATGGTTTTCATTTTGCACCTCAGTTGCTTTAATTCGAGATTTTAACATACATCTGATACATTTAATCCATTCAATCAAGTGTCAATGTGTTCTTTTTCACATCACCTGGCCTAATCTTCCAAAGAATTATGACACCAGTTAAAAGCTCAGGGTTCCCTAAATTTCGATCCCTCAAAATAAAGTGATTTAAGGTTATCATAATTAACTATATATTTACGTTATCAGTTATAAAGTATTCAGCAAGATTATTGTAAATGTAGTAGGGTGAAGAAGAACATAGACATGATGGAGGATTATGTTTCAGGTGCTCTATATCCAGATTATGTGCTTAAAAAATAATGAAATTATAGCTGATGTATATTTATAAGAAATACAAGTTGTGAAATATGGGGTAATACGAGACTGGACCCTTTTGTGATTAAAGATATTTTTTTTATTAAGCGTCTCAATTTTTGTCGTCATGTTAAAGTTCAAGGTGAAATAGGTAGTTTTAAATGTATTTTTTTGTTTCAAAAGCCTTAATTTGTTATATCCATAATCACAAATATGAGCCTGTTTTCTGCTGTCGAGAATCTTTATACAAGTAATGACTTACTTGACCCTTTTAAAAGTTTAAAAGATACAAAGTAATATTTGGTGCAATTGTGATAAAGACCTTTTTTCCTTAGGAGATGTATTCTAATTTTATCTTTAGCCATGAGCATATTTTACACATTTGTGTTACATTATGTACTCGCGATAACGAATAAATCGGTTAATTTGTTATTACTATATGGTGCACCATTCAATATTAGAGACAAACCATAGACGCTCCCCATGTAATTCTGTTAATGACGAAAGATAAGTATATATAGGTCTACCCCCTCTATACTATAAAATGGGGGTAGATCTATATATACTTATCTTTCGTCATTTCCAGAATTACTTGGGGAGCGCCTACGAGACAAACGAACAAAATTTCAAACGTAAAGGTAGTAATGCATTAAAGGAGACATAAACGACATTAAAAAGTTATTGGATTAATTAACTGTATAAAAACTTGAGGGTTGACAACACTTCCTTCATTTTTTTAAAAATAAACCTTGCATCTTACAATTTTTGTTCCGAAAATGCAGAAAATATGTATAATTTCTTTTAAATGAGTTTGAAATTAAAAGACAAATGTACTCAAGATCAATCAAATATCATAATGTTTAAATCTAAAACTGTGAAGAATATTCACTATCAATTTGTAGGTAGTGCAAAAACATCTTAAGATCCTAGACACATTATATCAATGATTGTTGACTTTGCATCGGTGTTTTGCTTATTTTGAAAGAAGACTGTTGATTTTGGGATTGATTCTGCTGATTTTTATGATTTTTAATCTACCTGTTTTGTACTTCAGCTTGTCTTTCTTTTAAATTAATTTTTTGTATTCCATAAAAATCCTCCTCCTGCTGCCAATAGAAACATTCTTTATTCTTTGTGTATTCTTTGGAATATCACTAAATACAATATAGTAATAAATACTCCTTGCAAAGTTTTCTGTCAGAATTTTAGATTTATAAAAGAACAATAAGATGACAATGTCATGCCATAGTAATGCCATAGTAAATAAAAGTGATCTAGTTTTCTACAGGTGTGCATGCAATTATACTGTAGATCAAATTCTCTTAAATTCTTTAGTTCTGTTTTCTTTCGTGCATAAAACAAGATGATCGACTTTCATTCAAGTGACTCAAACGTACACACTTGGAAATTACTCTTGTGACTGAATACCTAAAGGTGTCTCTTGACTTAAATTAAATGAAAGAGTAAGATGGATATGGAGATAACGAACAGTATACAATCTCAAAGTCAATAAAACAATACAAAATAAGAGCAGAGCAAACACGGACCCCCAAAACATCAGAGATGGGATCAGGTGCCATGGAGGAGTGAGCATCCCCTGCCGACCGGTCCCACCCGCCGTGTGCTCCTTGTCATGATCAGGAAATAACGGGAAAAATCCGTCGTCAATTCATTGTATAAATAATGGACTAACAATTGGTATGAAAAACGTCAGTCAGCATTTGACTCAATGATAAACTGTATTTGCTGACAAGGTCATTGTATCGACCATAGAACTCACGAAATGATGACTTTAAACGAGACTGCTGATATTCTTGTTTCGTCAACTTGTTTGTCAATAATTCACCTCGTTTTAGAAATTGTTTATACGTAGAACATGCTCTTGCGTATCGAATCATTATTTTATAAGATTATTTTTCATAGAACATGTACGTAGAAAGTGGTAAAATGAGAAACTGGAAACAAACTTTGCTATGTTTGGAATAATTTAATAGTTCTCTAATTTGAAAGAAAATATAGAATGACCACGGTGGCACAAGCTTTAATTTTTTTTAAAAAATAACTGAAAATATTTAATGACTATCACAATGCTTTATGGATAACTACCCCTAAGAAATATAGTGTACCCAATTGTCCAGAAAGCATTTTGTCTATCGAAGGATATGTTATTTACTATCAATATTTGAATATAGTCAAATTTTTCTTAAAAATACATAATCCTTTTGAGGCATTAATCACATACGCAATGGGTAGTTTTTTTCCATTGTGTTGGTGCTCAAATTCCGTCGTCCGTTTCCAAAATAACATTTATGCAACACATTGGAATTGATATCGAAAACGTGGATATATATATATATTTTTAAAATAAACATCTTGTTAAATTAAATTTTATAGCTAAAACCTCAAAATAAATAATAAATTACAGTTCATAAATTATCGGAAATGCATATTGTATGCAGTCTATCACGTATCGATTTTTTATTTTACCTTGTGAAGAAAAAAATTGGGATTTAGATTATACTCATCAATGAGGTTTCATATCTAACTACTCTTTCGTTAGATCTGATTTTCTTTCTTTTAGAAAATGCATATTTCGCTACGCAATTAAATGCCTCATCAGATTTTTGAAAAACAATTCTGTAGTACTTAATTAAAAAGAATTTTATACCCTGTAGGATGCCGAAAGTAATTTGTATTCAGACACTGTTTTATTTAATCATTAAAATGTAATTAGAACAATGAGTATTTTCAAAATCAACTTTCTATCAGGTTATAAATTGTGATGGATTTACTGAGGCATGTTCCTCATTTATTATTTTCGGGGTCAAAATCACAAGTAACTGATAATGTCCTTACAAGAGAATGAAAATAACGGGGAAAAGGCGTAATAAGAAGTATTTGTAGAGAAAGCTTTGAAAGTATGACCGAGACGTGATCAAACATGATTAATTAATGACGGGTTAAGGAGAAAGATTTACATTAATTAACTAAATAAAAGTGGTATATAAAACAAGAAATATTTGTTTACAAATTTAAAACTAACATTTAATAAAGACAGGTAAGCTGGATTTTTTTTCTCTTTTGATCTGTGAACAATATTTCTTATAGATTTTTATTTAAATAGGTAGCCTGGATAATGTACGTTAGGTAAAATGGATGAATTTGGAAGACTTCTTCACAATGATGAGAATATGTGCAAATTTTTGTATATAGAAACACTAAGAAAGTGATACGAAGTCGCATTTGAAAATAATAGCATCATAGTGATAATTAATGAAAAACTTAAACCAACATTCGACCTAACGAAAGATTATTAAAGCAAACAAGATCATAGTATATTGACCCTAAAAATATTCGAAATGTTCAATCAAAATACGATTAGAGATACTAGTACCCCTTGGTTCATCAAAATGCGTGTCCGTAGCCCGCCTTGTTTAAAAGCAATATTGTTCTGTACGAATGGTTCTCGCTAAATAATGTTGAAATTGATCCATTGTTTAGATAAATAAACAATAAGACAAACGAGTCAAATCTTATAGTGGTTAATATTAGACACTATACACTAGATCAGGAAAAAACAAAAACAAATAAAAAGCCTCGTAAACTTTTTACATATCTTTTTAAAATTTTATTTAAAAAAAGAAAAAGACATTTTCATTTTGCGAGGGTAATATTTGTATTTATCAAAGATTATTATTTCTAGGCTATTCATTGTTATTTATAATCTATTGAAATGAAAATTCCATGAGAATGAAATCTCGTATAATCACTACGGAATAAAACTCCTGAAGATTAAAACGGATTTTCAAATTCCTAGTAAGCTACCATAGTCAGATATCTCCAGTATATGGATCACATTAATATACTCGTTTGTGTAGCATTATACAATCAACACCTGCATGTGGAGTTTATGTCTCTTGGTTGATTCTATACGCACGATTATGGTCTACGATTGAACAATTTCTAAAACGGGTCAAGTTAGTGACAAATAAGTTGATGAAACAAGGATATCAAAAATCTGGTTTAGAGTCAACATTTTTCAAAATCTATGGTCGATATAACGACCTTGTCAGCCTATACAGTGTATTAGTATCATTCAGTTGAATAATTGTTTTTTTTTTCATACAAAACAAATTGTTAGGTAATACTATACTAATTTAAAATTAAGTTATATATTAATATTTCATTTACATACATAAAGCATAAAACAATAAATTTCAATAATATACTTTGAAATAACTGTTTTCATATAATACTAAGTGTATTTTCGTTCTATGATGGCTATGAAGAGACCCATGAAATCAAGAATTTTTCCGATTTGTTTAAAATTCAAGAATAAAGAAGCTTAAGAATCCAATTACTAGAAGAAATTTAATCCTCACTTTTCAATATCTTTATTTTCACGGATGACATAAAATGTTCTCACTTACATGAGTGATTTTACAATACTCTACTTATTTGTTCTACATTCACGGAATGTTACATGTTCATATGTTTTCGTATTTTTTATAGAGCTTCCTGAACGTGGAGCTAAAATTAAAAAAAAAATGAAGTTCGTTTATACATTGGTGGCTTGTCTAGTGCTGCTCAAAAATGTGCAATCACAGACTGAAACACGGGGATCCGTTCGTAAGGACTTAGAATATTTTTCTATCATCCATCCCCCTGTCTAGTAATACATGTACAACTGAAAACTCTGATAATTTGGCACAGTGAAAGTAAACCGCAATCTTATTGTATAATTATTTTTTTCAATATTTTAATAATCAATCGACTGGAAGAAAACCATTTACATGTACATATACGAGGGGTTATCAAAAAGTTCGTGGACTAGCGCCATAAAATTAAAACCGCTCAAAGTACATCAATGAATTTTGAAATATCTAGTAAGCATCATCTTTTTTATCCAAAGAATAAACCACAAATCATGAATTTTATTTTTTAATAAATTAGTAATGTTTGTGTAAGCAATGGTATGTCCAAGCGGCGCAACCTCGAAAACGACGTTTTTTCGACCTATGTGTAACTGAGAAAAACTCATTTTAATATGATTATTTGACATCCAGAAATCCCGTTAATTCAGGTATTTGTCCGGACACAATTGTTCTATAAAATATGAAATTTTCACTTCATTCTCGAATTTCTATGAAATTTTATCGTAAATTTTACACGGAATGTCTAAACAAATGACGCCTTGAAAATGACGTCAAAAGGGGGAGGGGTTTCCGTTTCCAACATTATATAAAGTTTTGCCTCTGAAAAAAATAGTATAGACCTAAAATATGCTGAAACTGGCTACAGAGAAGTAATATGCATCCAGAGTACTTGTCTTTTAATGTCAAAATAGATTCAGAGAGTAAAGGGATACACAGTTAATGTCGATTTGCAGTCAAGGTGTGAAAAATCAATCCCGTAAAAATGACGTTGATCATATGTTGTAGATATTGAACTCCCAAAAGCAAAATATGCCGGCACAATATCAAGCGCGGATCTCTCCCATTGTATAAATCCATCTGGAATATTATATTCATTGAAGGCCACTGTTAATGACATTGTAAAGTCATAAAAACAAAGCGGGTTTAAGTCCTTACTCAGCTCCAGAAAATCTCATCAAAAAAAATGTATGAGGTAGAAGAAGATGACATTGAAAAAACAATGACGTTATCGGACGTCAGGAAAATAAACGACGACAGCGCCGGGTGATCATATAATGTCGTTTTCATTTTATGATAATTTGGCAAATAATGAACGTATCAGGCTGAAATTTTCAACATTTCTCTATTTTGTGTTGTTTTATGTTCCATATAAATTTTGAAAGCACAGACTACATAGTACTAATTTTATAGCCTCAGTCCACGAACTTTTTGATAACCCCTCGTATGAATACACAAGTATATTTCAACAGCTCCTTGCAACTGGATGCGTTTACAATTCCGACGAAGTTTGGAAAATGTTATATTTTCAATTGTTTATTTGATTGTTTGAAATAATGTGGCGAAAGAAATATAGTACAAAATGTCAATGTTCGCAAAAGAATTACTGGAATTGTTGAGAGACATTGCAGAGAAAAATTGTAGAAGCAGCGTTTCTTGTACAACCTGGCATTTTAAAATTGATCCTGTTTTGTCTCCTAGAAAAAAGGATGTCCTAAAAAATAAAAACTGATTCATTAAAAGTTGTTCTTGTCACGTGATTGCTTTCTTGTCATTCTGAATATCTACGCTTATTTATATTTTCATTCAGGTAGACCTAACTGTATATGTACGTTGGAATACGATCCTGTTTGCGGAACTAATGGACGGACATATTCCAACCCTTGTCAAGCACGCTGCGCGTAAGTACCCCAAAACACAAATAAATCCCTCTTACCCTGTTGAAAATATTCCCTGTATAATTTTTGCAATGTTCCTTGCACATCTTGCAGATGGTACAGCATGTAGAAATGTAGTTTGTATTTCCGATTTACTTTTTTGCGGTATCTTGAGGCAGGACCCTGTTCATCCAGTTGACGTCTCTATATGTGTGAAAAGAATGGAAAGTAAAAACAACAATCAATCAATCAATCAATCTTTTTCAATGTTACAGAGGTGCTTCTGTAAGGTGCCGAGGTAGATGTATTATAAGTTTTTTGTTATACCCTTATAAATATCATTCTATATATTTATTACTTATAAAAAGTCCAACAAAAGAGCTGTTTATTACATCGGTCTTACAATTTCACTATTGACCGGTCTTACATAAGAATTGTTAGACCGCAACGTCACTCGTCTGTTACGTCACAAGTAAGTTCGATATCGGCGACGCGAAAATAGCCGAAGTTAAGACCTACAAGAGTTGTTGCTTACAGCAAGGTAATGAAGAAGGGAATAGTACGTTTTGTGATGAATAATTTTTGTGATACAATACATATATAACTGAGTTTGTTCTTTATCAGCTTGATGTTTTATATTTACTGAAGAAGCTATAATTTTCCATGTAAAATAATTGATAATATAGCGTGTATTGATTAAATTGATCAATCTTAAATGAGTAGTGAAGGGTATAACAAAACAGTTATAGACTGGGATTCTTTATGATTTGTTGGACCTGACGGTCAAAATGTTGCCCTTGGCCTGCGGCCTCGGGCAACATTTTGACCTTCAGGTCCAACAAATCATATGTTGCCCTCATACCCAGTCAATAACTGTATAGTATTGTACTACAAAATCGTATTGTGTATACATTCTTAATACAGTGTATCATAAGATTTTTTGAATCTTATAAAACTGTATTAAGAATGGAGCAATGCTCTATTTCCTAATACAAGTCTTAGCTTACCTTTCACTTACAACCATTGAAATGTACTGACACTGGGGGTCATCCTATTTTTATCATTATTAAAAAAGCACATGGTAAATAATAATGACAGACTTAAAAAGATATCATAAAACCGTCGTTTTATAGCAAGGAGAAGAAGTTTTGAGGAATATCTCAGTTTATGGAAAGTTAAACAAAAAAGACGCAAAAAGAAGAGATATAAACAGAATACAAAAGGCTCGAACAAAGAAACGGAAGAAAGAGTATATAGTTATCCTCATCGATCAAATTCTAGAAACATATAGTTAAACCAATTTGTCTCTTATTATCTTTAAACTTTAAACAAATATATGACTACTAAACAGAGAAATATGGTGGAGTAAGACGTGGTAATACGTAGTTTATTTACAATCTTATGAAATATGTATTAGCGTGTGTACAAGAAAGAATTACAATGCAAAAATATAATACTTTAATAATACTACAAATCTCATCGTGTATATCGGCCTGAAGTCAACCAAGCTCAGCACATAATTGACAAAGGCAGTCATGGTTTTACTGTTCTATCCATATCATAATTATTTTTTGTCACTTCAACAAATACACGCCCATGAATAATACAAATGATATTGCAAGCACGAAATTATAAATTTTTCTCTTAAATTTGAAATAATCCTATTTACAGAAATGTAAGAGTTAGATGCAACAGACGTTGTCCTTGCTCTGGTTCTGGCGGCGGTGATTGTATTTGTCCAAGAAACTATGATCCAGTTTGTGGAACTGACGGAAGAACTTACAATAATAGGTGTGAGGCCCGCTGCAGGTAACTGATACAAACACGAAAATTCACTTTTTAAAAATATTGATAATAATATTTTGATATAAGCTTAAAACACGTAAGGATTTTTACCTTGTATTAGGTTATATTATTTTTTTTTTACTTGTCATTCTCCCCGGAGAATCTTGCGATAAAAGCAACATATAAGGGATGCTTTCTTTTCAATGGCACCTGAATCAACCTCTCATCTTTACAGAGTTTTGAGATTCCTTTGGTCCCAATTTTATATTGTTTCAAAGGACTTAGCTTGATTTCTATTCATTGTCTTCCAATTTTATGAAATATATGATGTCGCTAAAGTTTCTGAACCTTTCAAAATTATTTATTTATTTCCATTGACTTAAAAAATAACACATTTTGAATTCAAACTCAATAGGTCAAATCAGAAAAATATCAAGACCCGATTACATTTTTCAACAGAAATTATTTCAGACATTAACTACAGTTTTATATCATAAGTAGTTATGATTTAATATCGACCCCTATTGTTTTGAATAAAACATAAATAAAGCAAAGGTCAGACGTTCTAATTTGCAACAACAAAAATTTCAATTGATATCTCGTATTTTCAAGGGCTAACTTTAATAACTAATTTTAGCCAATAGGTATATGCCATCATTTCGTTCTCTTTCCCATTCTTTTGTCCCCTCAAAGGTGAATTCCTGGACTGAGCTTGTTGATAACACAAACGATACCAGCTGTTTTTTTTTTTAAGAATATCAATTTAAGATTAACAGGCCCCATATTGTATCTCTCTCTCTCTCTCTCACTCTCTCTCTCTCTCTCCCATGTAGGTGTTGTTCTAAGAAAACAGAATATTTTCCAGAAATGTTGGAGTCAGATGCAATAGACGATGCCCTTGCTCGGGTGGCGGAGGTGGTGATTGTGCTTGTCCAAGAAACTATGATCCAGTTTGTGGAACTGACGGAAGAACTTACAATAATAGATGTGAGGCCCGCTGCAGGTAACTGATACAGACACGAAAATTCACTTTTTAAAAATATTTATAATAATATTTTGATATAAGCTTAAAACACGTAAGGATTTTTACCTTGTATTAGGTTATATTATTTTTTTTTACTTGTCATTCTCCCCGGAGAATCTTGCGATAAAAGCAACATATAAGGGATGCTTTCTTTTCAATGGCACCTGAACCAACCTCTCATCTTTACAGAGGTTTGAGATTCCTTTGGTCCCAATTTTATATTGTTTCAAAGGACTTAGCTTGATTTCTATTCATTGTCTTCCATTTTTATGAAATATATGATGTCTCTAAAGTTTCTGAACCTTTCAAAATTATTTATTTATTTCCGTTGACTTAAAAAATAACACATTTTGAATTCAAACTCAATAGGTCAAATCAGAAAAATATCAACACCCGACTACATTTTCAACAGAAATTATTTCAGACAATAACTACAGTTTTATATCATAAGTAGTTATGATTTAATATCGACCCCTATTGTTTTGAATAAAACAAAATAAAGCAAAGGTCAGATGTTCTAATTTGCAACAACAAAAATTTCAGTTAATATCTCGTACTTTAATAATTAATTTTAGCCAATAGGTATTAGCCATCATTTCGTTTTCTTTCCCATTCTTTTGTCCCCTCAAAGGTGAATTCCTGGACTGAGCTTGTTGATAACACAAACGATACCAGCTTTTTTTTTTAATATCAATTTTAGATAAAGAAGCCCCATATTCTCTCTCTCTCTCTCTCTCTCTCTCTCTCTCCCATGTAGGTGTTGTTCTAATAAAATAGAATATTTTCCAGAAATGTTGGAGTCAGATGCAATAGACGATGCCCTTGCTCGGGTGGCGGAGGTGGTGACTGTGCTTGTCCAAGAAACTATGATCCAGTTTGTGGAACTGACGGAAGAACTTACAATAACAGATGTGAGGCCCGCTGCAGGTAACTGATACTTACACGAAAATTCACTTTTTAAAATATTTATTATAATATTTTGATATAAGCTTAAAATTTCCTTGTATTCAAAAAGCTCCCCGGAATGTATAAAAGCAAATAAATGCTACTTTCCATGGCACCTGAATAACCTCTCACAAAATATACAAAAACGAATTTTATATTGTATTAAATTTGAATCATATTTTCTTCCAATTTTATGAAATATATGATTTTAAAGTTTCTGAACCTTTCAAAATTATTTATTTATTTAAAAAAAATAACACATTTTGTTACTCAATGTGATGTTTTGAGTCATTAATTTACTTACATGAAATATAATAAGATATGAAATAATAATAAATATAAATTAATAAAGCGAATATGAAGAATTTGCAACAACAAAAATTTCAATTGATATCTCGTATTTTCAAAACTTTAAAAACTAATTTTTGCATAGGTATATGCCCATTTCGTATTCTTTCCCATTTTAATAAAAAATTCCTGAAAGCATGATAACACAAACGGCTTTTTTTTTTAATATCAATTTATAAAGGCCCCAATTATCTCTTTCTCTCTCTCTCTCATGTAGGTGTTGTTCTAAAAACAAAAAATGTTGAAGTCAGCATTGAAAGACTGTTGCTCGGGTGGCGGCGGTGGCAATTGTGCTTGTGACAACTCACCACATATAATATCGCACAATAAATTGTGTATTTGTATTGCTTTGTTTTTAATGATTTTGAAGAAACATTAATAAATAAATAAATTTGTTAATTGATTAATATATTAACATCATTAAATGCTAATCAAAACATACAAATTCACCAAAAACCATTTTATAAGTAAAATTTGAATCATATATTTTTCAAAAGAAATTTACTTTTAAAAAAAAAGTTAAAATTAAAAAGATAGAAAGCATATTGTTCTATAAAACAGTTGTAATACAAAATATGTAAAAGAAAACAAAAATCAAAATGAAAAACAAACACAAAAATGTAACTTTCTTATCAATGTGGCGTTCATAAATCTTCTTTATAAACCAAATACCAGCGATGAAATATGAATTTTCATGTAAGAAATTACTGGATATAAATAGTACAATATATTAAGTAAATGTATAGTTTTGTTTAGTTTTAATGATTTTGAAGTTACAATGAATAAATTAATAATTTAACTGATTAAAAAAATAACTTTAATGCTGTCACGTGAAATCCCCTTTCAAATAGAAAAAATCCATTTTTTACAATTCAATGTAAATTATAAAATAACAATTTTTATGAAAAATGTCTATATAAAAGAATCAAAAATCAACTGGAAACAAACACAGATATGTAGAACAAAACGTGGTAATTTATAAATAATTATTAAAAAAGCTGTTCATGTTGTCATTGTCCATGTCCCATCATTAATAAGCTAGTGTGTAGACACAAAACAGTTTTTTTGTTCCATAAAGTAATTTAGGGGACGGGTGTGGCATAAATTCCCTAAAATAGCTTATTCATAGTACAAACAATACCAGACTTGTATAATGATAATAAGTAGGTGACATATTATATACTCTCTCTCTCTTTCTCTCTAATAAAATAAAATATTTCCAGAAATGTAAGAGTCAGATGCAATAGACAATGTCCTTGCTCGGGTTCTGGTGGCGGCAATTGTAATTGTCAAAGAAACTATGATCCAGTTTGTGGATCTGATGGGAGAACGTACAATAATAGATGTTTGGCACGCTGCAGGTAACTTGTAATGAAACACAACTTCAAATAAAATTGAATTTCTGCCCTCAAAAAATCTTAAAATTTTAGATTTTTAAAAATATTTTTCTTCTCTTGAGAAAAAAGATGGCGTTCAATGTTTTAAAATTTTACTTCCTTTTTTCAGTGGGATCTATCGCTATAGACAAGGAGCATGTAGAGGTAAGTAAAAGGTTATCTGAAGAGAAGTCTGATGTAACAAATAGATTCTTGAAATCAGTTGTTCTAAATCGTTAAATGCTTTAAACGATTGAATTTAATGAAGCTTGAAATAAGTCTCGATTATTAACAATATGTTTCAATGCTTTATACTTTAATACATGTATTTGATTTATTACGATAAATGATATGTATATTACGTGATATTTTTCTATGACACCTCGATTTACAATGAAACTGACTTCTTGATGACTTCTTAAATGGAATTTCTATTGAATCTCACATAAGTGATAGAAACTGAGAAATGGCAGTGGAGAACATGGCTATACAGCTTAACGCACTTTTTAAACTCACATGGATTTTCGTACAAACTAAAATCACATTATTATAACGTAAAGTTGTGTAACATGACAACAAAAAATATTTTAAAAATGATTTATAACTTAATTTTGATCATATTCTATTACTTTAAACATATTTCACACATAATACTTGGTAGGATTTATATATACCATAGGATGATATATAATGAGATTTTCCAAATGTTTTTTCATGGTTTCTCGTCAAATGCAACCATCCTTGTATCCGTTCATTTTAAAACATACTTTTGCCTTGCCTTAATTCAGAAACAGTGCAATTCATGTAATCTCTGTATTTTCTATACATTAATAAGACGCTAACGCGCAAGATGGAAGAAGTATTTCTCATCTGTTCAACTGGTTTCCGTGTTAAAAGATCGCATTTTTCAGGTTAACTTCGTGAAATCTAGCATCATGAAAGATACCTTCCAACGCAAAATTTCAAAGTTTCAGACCATAAATGTAAAAGAACTTTCTTTTCAATATTTACAATTTACTATGCTGAAAGATAAACAATACTTTATAATCCTATCCTTTCACATGATTTCTTTATGCAGTTTTGTAATTTTTTGGCGCTGCATTTCTACAAAACCAAGAGAAGTATGGAAAATGTGCAAAAAACCTAGAAAAATACTCATTTGTAAGAAGTAAATTTGAACATTTCAACCAAATCGATTCAAAGATTGGTAGAACCATACACATTTAACATCATACAATATAAATCAATTCCTTTTTAGAACACTGACATTTATAACTTTGGATAATGATTTTAGAGAATATGCACCTTAAACATAAGATATTCAATAATATAAAGATTATCTCTCGTACTGTAACTCGATTATTTTAAGTTTTATTGCAAAAAAAATGTGACTTTAATTTATGCGAAAATCCATGTGAGTTTTTATAGTTTTGATTTTACCTAATCTTGACATTTTGAAATTCCTGACTAATTCGTCTACGTCTTTAAAAAGTTATCCAACCTTTTAAAAAGATATTATTTTAACAACAGTAGCTTAAAAACGTTATTTTTCCATACATTTCAATAGTAAAGCGCAAAAACAGTACTAACAACAAATACCGTGTTTAAAGTGATATAGCATTAAAACTATTGTAGGCATATATTTAATAAAAATTGCAGATAGTATGCTGTGAATTTTTAAGGAACTTTATATCAAATTTTCAGGTATATGTTATTCTATTTGAATTTTTATAGGTACATGTATTTACAAATTAAAAAGTGCATTGAGCTGTATCAACAGTTGCCTTATCATGGAATTCGGTTTTAAAAATCTCATTTTATGAGCTCATAATGAAGTTAATGAAATTTTCACTTCTAACATTTGACAATTGGCTAGGATGGTAAAGGAGCAACTACTGACTTAATAAATGTTTAGGTTTAAAGTGGCTACTCTTTGGATACTTAAGGCGATATCTTTGAAACCTGGTCCACTGTTTTCATGTACTTTTGTTAAGGAGGCTAGGGGGTCGACAAATTTTTTTTTTATTATTAACCACCAGATATAACTTAAATTTTGGGATATGATATCTTAAGCTGTCAACTATCATTTAGCAAAGAAATACAGAAGTTATATGAGCAGCATATTTTTGTGTCTAAATCACTATTCCTAAAAAGAACTATATGAGAACGTTTTTCCGTGTAAAACCATTGTACTGTCATATTTATCATTACCTTAGATTATTAAAATCCTGAATTATATCAAAACCTTTTCCAAGTAAATTAAAGTACAATCAAATCAAATCAATTAATATATATATCTCTATATCAAAAACTGTGTTCCATGAATTGTACAATCATATTAAGAATTGACCTTATATTATGACTAATCATGACCATGACAAAACGTTTTCTGTGAGCTGTACATAATTAAATGTATAGTATATATTCATTTTTAAAAAGGTTACGGTTAAATTTTAATTTGAATATCTTTTCTGTTTATTTTACAGATAAAAAGCTTTCCCCTTATTGCATAAATGACACACATGCTTAAAACAAGAACCTCTCTACAAGTCTAGATATCAATTTCATAAACATGAAATTTAATTTGTTTCTAGTTTTCCAAATTAAGAAGAGTCATGTAAATCACGAAATCGTGAATGAACAAAAGATATATGTGTAATATTGTGAACATTTTAACTGTGTATCGTGCCTGTCCTTTTTTTCAATTATTAAAATTTAAATTGTGATTTATTATTCTTAAATTGTTTTTCTACAGTTATGCCATGAGTAATCCTTGCATCATTTATATAATAAAATCTATTAACATATTTAATCCCATGAAAATCTGTTTCCTGATATGACTGGATAAGTTTAACACATGAGTTAAAAGTGTAAATGTTTTGCAAAAAGTATTCAAAATTATTTACCGGGGTATACATATCAGGTATTCATTTACATCCATAATATATATATCCTATTTTTAAAAAATGACCTTGGGGCCTTGACACAGTTTCAACTGATTTTTTTATGTTAATGTTTATAAGTTACCTAAGGAGAGTTTATTGATTTATTGCAAAAATTTGAAAATCATTTGTTGATTAACAATCAAGATACAGAACTTAACAAGGCTCGTGCCTTGTTTTTGTTTACATATAGAAAATATCATATTTATAACAAAATGAAGTTCATCAAATCAATAGTAACCGTCGAATCGTATTTAGAATTAACTTTTATTTGAAATTATCCACTTTAAAAATATATTTGAATGTATATATTAACCTGTGTAAACAAAAAAATTGACACTAGCCTTGTTTACATTACAAAGGTTGATGCCCTAAATCTGACCTTGTATCATGCAACTCGATAATAAATTTTATTGATGATATTTAATCCTATATAATTTGTTTATTTGTGAAAATCAAAAAATAAATTTTGAAATTTTAGCTGAAACTGTGTCCATGCCCCTTTAACCAGTCCATAAACGACACTAAACAACCCACCCTCATAGCCTTCTTGACCTCGCTCTCCTATAACAAGTTTTTTGAGAATAAAGATTGTCATTGCCATTGATCATTAGTTGTTCCAGTCTGAGATGCATACAATGACATATACGCGTACGTCTTTAGTGCAATATCTGACATATTAATTTTACTTTGAATTTTTTTTATTCAAATGTAAATTAAAAAAAAGAAATTAAAATGTCTTTCTTTGTTGTTAGTATGGGAATTGGCGTCAGTATGGGAATTGGCGTCACAGCTATTGTAGAATAATTTACATAAACCGCTTACGCGACAACAGCTGTGACATTGATTCTTGTTCTATCAATCTAAGAAAAAAATTTATTGTTTTTAAAAATATCTCTTCGAGCAACAACGTATTCTTTTTTTAAACCAAATTTGATCCTTTAACAGAGAGTAGAAGTGTTCATTCAAATACTATATTGTACAGTGATAACAATATTTCACAGATAATTAACTAATTTCTATTATTAATTTTAATATGTATATCGTTTGTTCCAGAAAAAAACGCCAAGTTGCTGTGTTATAACTACTGTGTAAAATGTAGTCTACATTAATAGGTCATTTTAGCTGCTCAATTAAATCAAAATTGTGAAACATATACTAAGAAACAGAAAGTTCTTTGGGTATTTACTTTTGTTTAAATCGAATCAACGAAATTGAATCCGACACGAAATTTCGATATGACTATACGAAGACTGTTTAAAAAATATATGTCCTGGAACTCTATGACAGAATACTCAGTAATACAGAAATCAAATAATCACTTTGGCTTTCTCTCTTGATGGAATCTCTAATAAACCGATAACCATTTACGTGACTACTTTTCATCATATAGCTTCATTGTGAAAAGTTGGAAAACAGGGGATATCCGAGACACTGCATTAAAATGAATGAAAAAGAAACAATCAACAGGAGCGAAGTTAGACGCTTCATTAAAGCTGCTGTAAAACACGTTAAGAATTCCAAAGAAACATTCAATGAAATATGTGATGTTTATGCAGCAACCAAAGCTTGTATTGTAGAGACATGAGGGGCGGATTTCAATGATAAGAAATGATGAAATAGCCATCAAGGCGCCAAGGACTTACAACAACTAAGGTAATGTTGACAGTGTGTAAGAATACCCAAACAATTTTTTTTTTTAAAAAACTCAAAAAATTGTAGTTTCCGCGTTTGTCTCAAATTCTAACAGATAATTTGGAATCTGAATTTGATATATTGCTTTGAACCCCAAGAATAATTTACAAGACGACCAAAAGCAGCAAATGTCCGAGAAGATCAAAGAATTGCAAGAGCACAAAGAAATTTTATATGCTCTTTTTTTAAATAGTAGTGGTCCTGTTGTTCAAATTCTTATTCAGGAAGGTCGTTCAATTTTTGGATGAGTCTAGAAAGAAAATTTTTGCAAAAAAATCGAAAGGTTTATAAGAAGAAGGAGCCAGAATCAAGCATTTACTTCCTAAAATTTCTTTATGAAAGTGTCCAAAATTTCTTAAAGGAGTTTTGGGGATAAACAGATAGTTAATGTTTTGTTACCAGATCTTTCATCAGGCTGTTACCAGATTTTTCACCCTTCGACTTGTTTCATTTTCCAAGCTTAAAATAAAAAAACACTTTTCAGAAAGAGGAAACAAGTCCAGGAAATCATAGAATCTCCCATATTCCAGTATACGAAGGGTAAGCTCAAACATATGTTCTAAAACCAATTAAGAAATTGAAGAAATTGGACTAAAACTGAGAGAGAGAGAGAGAGAGAGAGAGAGAGAGAGAGAGAGAAGATGTTCTACCACGAAATGAGCCATGAAACTTCTTCAAGGTCATCAATCAATGATAACGGTTATTGTTTTAAGACAGCTGAGAAAAAAATCATATAATTATCTTTCTAGAATCATAATTAAGAGGAACCGGATGAATATTTTTTTTTATTTATTCCCTTGAGCAAAACATTGAACATTTAAATAATGGATGTATAAATTAATAACCTTTTTAATATTCTAGTAATCGTAGATATGATATATACATAAAAACTTTTTACAAGTGTATTAAATTATCAACCATGATTGAAGAAAAATGAGTAAAAGTGCAACTGTTGAGTGTATACATGTTTTAGCAGACATTAATTTGATACAGAGAAGTGTAAATCAAGTATGAATTTTTCCACCTTTTTGTGATAAAATACATGTACCAATGTGAATGTAACCATTTACGTGATAAAAAATAGAGTTATGATTAATTACTTGTGCAAATGAGGCGTGTAAAAGATATCTATATACTTTCATTTATTTGAGATATAAAATAACTAAAACCAAAAAATACCACCGAAAAAGATTCTGTTAAAAATTATCCTCTCCACTCAAGAGAACAAAGACATGCTACTAGATAAAATGGTTGATGTATATATGTTTTGACGGGAAATGGCCGCAGTGGGTTTTATTATCACATGCCACAGGTCTATTAACACCAGAAGCACACACTTTGTTACAAATTAATGAAAAAAGGATGTTTAAGCCTTTTGAAATAGTGCAATATTTTCTTTTTCTTTCAATCATTGTGCTGTCTGAAGGTAAGAAATCTTATAATGTACATATCTAAGGTATTCTTAATATACTGCAGCATAAAAATTATTTTAGATTTACTACAAGCTAAATTTAGTTCTGAAATTTATTGACAATGACAAAAGGAAAAAAAAGACATAATTATTTATGATAATTTATGCTTCTGTCGGTCGTGGGTTCTACAAAATTTTATATGTTCCTAAATATTTTTCCGTTTTAAAACCGATCGACTGAAAAAAAAAATTTAAAGAAATTTTGCAGAACTGTTAAGGAAAAGAATAAATGAATTAGATTTAAGACTTTCTTTGATATTATTACATGTACATGTGTGAAGATAGCGAAGAGTATTCAAGCTCAGGAGTCTATAAAACAATACAAAATAGGAGCAGAGCAAACACAGACTTCCAAAACATTGAGATGGGATCAGGTGCCATGGAGGAGTGAGCATCCTCCTGCCGACAGGTCACACCCGCCGTGTGCTCCTTGTCATGATCGGGAAATAACGGGAAAATCCGTAGTCAATTGAGTGCGTAAATATTGAATTAGAAAATTAACATGAAAAACGTCATTTGACTTAATGATATATTGTATTTGCTGACAAGATTATTGTATGGACCGTAGAACTGAAGAAATACATTTTACTTAATTCGATACTACTGATATTCTTGTTTCATCAACTTGTTTTTCAATAATTTACCTCGTTTTGGAAATTTACATGTGTACGTTGTGAATGCTCTTTCGTATCGAATCAACTGAGAGATATCATCAGTAAACCCCGTATATTTAATGCAAAAGTTGAAGTCTGGTTTGTTGATAACTCCCCTTGGAGGTTAGTATTAGAAAATTCCAATTTGAATTAAATCAACCAATACCATCAATATTAAACTTTAAGGGCATAAATTATGTCTGGAAATGCGAATTAATCAAATACTTCTGACTACTGTTAGCTTATTTAATTCAGCCGTAAGGAAAAGTTGAACAAATATAATTTTTCCCTCTAGTTTCAATGAGATTTCATCGACAAATTTGCCGAGCATGGTATTTGTTCTTAAAAAAGAGTCCGGGCGTTTGTTTTTGGACAACTATAGTATTTTCCTGACAAGTCACTCGATCCTTCATGGCACGAGATCCCACCTCTGATGTTTTGGAGGTTCGTGTTTGCTCTGCTCCGTTTTTGTTTTGTTTTATGAACTCTTGAGCTTGAATACTTTTCATATCTCCATATATTTTCATTATATATCATTTTTTCAGATACATTATTTGCCTTCTTTCTCAAAAATTAATTCTTCATTAATTTATTTCACAAAAATGAAATTCCTTCTATGAAGGCTGGTGGTTGAGAAAAAGAGAGAAATGTTACGAAGACATCGGTTGTTTCAACAATAGAGCGCCTTTTGACAACCTTCGTCTGCTCGGGAAAAAATTCTTGCCTAAAGATCCCAACACAATACAGACCCGATTTTACCTTTATACTAGGGTAAATCAAAATCTTGGCAAAGAGCTTCATCTAGATAACCATGCATCTGTATTTTCGTCAAACTTTGATCCAGCAAGAAAGACTGTGTTTATCATTCATGGGTTTTCTGCAAGTTCAACGGATTATCGACTGGTGGATATGAAAGAGGCGTTCTTGACAAAGGTATCAAAATTAGACAAACAAACTGAATTAAGTCCTCTGGTAAAAACCTGACACTGCATTTTAGAAAATCATTTGTAATGTGTAGAACAAATGAAATTTGAAATTAGTTTTCATGCACTTTTGTTTTTATAGTTTCATCCAGAAGTTTTGAATATTATCATTTATTTTTTTTTAAGTTTCTGTCTTTTGGTATATTCAGAAATTAATTTTATTTTGTTTTTAAATTTATGTATTGACTGCCTCTTAAAAGTCACAAAATAACAATAAAAATTCTACGAATAATAAGTACATATGTATTTCTTACAATTATGACAAATTAAAAATTCTACGAATAATGCGTATTTCTTACAATTATGACAAATTAAAAAACACAAAATGAAAAATTAAAAAACACAATAAATTCCTTTTTATACGTGCAACTACTGCTCTCCTCCTAATCTCCTAATTCTAAATCAATTAACATAGTGGTGACCTGGACCTTTTTGTTCTTTTGTAAACTTAACTTTTAAACTATTAACTGTTTAAACATTGCAATGGTGAACTGGTCCCATTCCTTCTTTTGTTAATTTGACTACAACATCATTAATTGTGGACTGACCATTTTTTTTTCATGTCCTTTTTAACTACTAGTTTACAACATTATAATTATAAACTGTCCTGATCTTTTGTTTTTAAGTTTAAGTGCAACATTATAATAGTTGATTGGTTGAGTTCTTTGATAAGTTCAACTACGACATCAAAATGATGGACTGTCCCCCATCTATTATTAGTTTAATTACAACATGGTGGATTGGTTTTCTTTTTTTTTGTGTGACTACACCATTATAATGGTGGACTGGTTACATATTTATTTGTAGTTTATTTACTATAATTAGTTTAACTATAACATGGTGGATTGGTTGAGTTTCTTTTTTAGTTTGACCACAAGATTATAATGGTTGGCTAATGTGGACTAGTCTCCTACCTTCATTTTAACTATTAATATTATTAGTAAACATGCATGTGTCTTTTCATTATTATGGTGAATTGGTTCCCCCTTTTTTAGTAGGACTACAACATTATAATGGGGGGATTGGTTCCTTTTTTTTTAAGTTTGACTACAACATTATAATGGTGGACTAGTTCTTTTTTAGTTTGACTACAACATTATAATGATGGACTGGTTCTCCTTTTTTACTGGTTCTCCTTTTTTAGTCTGACTACAACATTATAATGGTGGACCGGTTCTCCATTTTTAGTTTCACTACAACATTATAATGATGGACTGGTTCTCCTTTTTTAGTTTGACTACAACATTATAATGGTGGACTGGTCCCCGGGGGCTAACCATGTCTGTTACCTCCAGGCTGCGGCCAATACAAGAGTCGTAGGAGCGGTAACAGCTAGACTGCTGAGAGCACTGAGGGACAGGCACTCCCTGTCTTATAGTGAGGTCCACCTGGTGGGGCACAGTCTCGGGGCTCATACGTGTGGTTATGTTGGCAGACGGGAGAGGGGGGTTAGCCGTATAACAGGTGATTTTACGGTTAAATTACGGAAATATGTGTCCAACAAGCACCTTACTACTGCTTTTCGGTGTGTTCACTATTAACTTATTAATTTTACTTAAACATGTACTATATACCTGTGCATACCTTTAATGTACTAATTAAGAGATGCAAAGTTTCTCTTTAGTTAAACTTTTGATTTTTTTAGTATTATAAATAAATATTGAATGGAAATTAACAATTCAACTCTAATAGCAGATAATACAAACAAAAAAGGATACTTGCATACACTGTATTAACATTTGTTTTTGGACTTTATTTAACCTTTTTGTTTTGTAACTTAAGCATATGCATGTATATTGAATTTTAATGGCAAAGGATTACTGAAGAGAAAGTTGATGTTACAAGGATTTCACAAACTTCGTTTGAAAGTAACATTTCAAGATCCAATTACAGTGTGCTTTATTGCATTTACGTCATATCTCTTGGGACACGGGATACAAAAAAAGTCCAAAAATTTGGTTTAATGAAGCGCTATTCTTGCGGTGTAATACAACCAATTCATCACAAATATGCATCTCTTCAAATGATGCCCCCCCCCCCAATATAAAAAGTTAATTTCACCATTTTACCCCCAATAAATAAAATACAATTTCACCGTAAATGAAATAAATTTGTCTAAAAATACAAGACGAGTTACATTTGCATGACAACAATCTCCATGTCATTGTGGTCTTTTCATTTTATTTCTGTTCAGGTCTGGATCCGGCTGGACCTTTCTTTGAGGACTCGGAGTCTCCTGTTCGCCTGGATCCTTCTGATGCTGTTTTTGTGGACGCCATCCACACCGACGGCAGAAAATATTTTGGTATTTATTTGTCTATATCCATTTTGAAATGGTGACTTATTCAACTGTGTGATTTCTCTTCAAATTGACTTTAAACGTTTGGTGATATTTTTGTTTCATCAACTGTGTGTGTCAATAGATTTAGGGGTTTTAGAAATTTTCCATATATAGAGATTGCTCTTGCGTATCGAATCAACTGAGAGATATAAACCCCCTATGCAGGTGATGAAGGTATATTGCTGCATAAGTAAGGGAAGTTGATGTTTATCATAGAGCTTGGTTGTTAGATTACCATTAACTTTTTTTCTTTTTCAAATAAAATATCCAAATACAGATGCGTCAGACTTTATGATATATTTTATCTCAAGCTCACCGGTATATATTGTATCGACATAAGAATGGAAATTACCATTCTTAATTGACAATATATATATATCTAAATGTCAAATATATCCACAGCAAGTATTTTCTTCATTTTGAATAAGTTAAATGGTCGATACAATGACCTTGCCAGCAACTGTTGAAAATACAATCTATCATTAAGCTGAATTCTGAATATTTTTCATTCCTTTGTTTGCTTTGCTAATTTCTTACACATTGAATTGTCTATGGATTTTTCTGTTTTTCCAATCATGACAATGAGCACACGCATATGTGATCGACAGGGAATGCTTACTCCTTTATGGATCCTGATCCTACTCTGTTGTTTCTGGGGCCCTTGTTTGCTCTGCTCAAAATGCATTGTTACAATGAACTTTTTTAGCCTGATTTATATTCGCTATTTCCATATATTTCATCGAAACTTTAAATTTTGTTTTATCATTTTAAGTTTTATATTTTATATAATACAAGTTTTGTTTAGTATGTTCATCTTCTTAATCTTGAAATAAATTCAAATTCGATCGAGCCTGCCTAAAAAGAAATATGTTTATTGGCAATTCCTTGATATTACCAGGGTTTGGGATCATTCGTCCAGTGGGCCATGTTGATTTTTATCCCAACAATGGAAAACACCAACCTGCCTGTAAATCGAGGAAACTGAAATCCATTAAGAAACTAATTTTTGGACAGTTGGAAAGTGAGTTATACTTATAACCTTGCAATGAGTGGTAATTAAAATTAAAATAAAAAACAAATATGATATAGCCTTTATTGTATGTAAAATAAAATTATAAATGAAATTAATGGGGTAAAATCAAATTTCTTACTTACAGTTAAAGTAAGTGTCAACAACAATAAATACAGAAAAAATTCTAATTGACTTCTGAAAATATGATAATTTATCACTGTTTCGTTAAAGTGTCATAATTACTTTATATCACATTTTTTTTTCATTCGTGAAATACATTCCTTTTTCCATCTACAAACCATTGTATACCAATTAAATACCAAAACAAGATATTACATTACAAAAACCAAAGGTTTATACAAATACCTGTACAACGTTGTTGTACAAATACTTTTACGATTTGACGGCCTAATTTAGTTTTTTAGTTCGAAAAATTTTCTAAAGATAAATACATTTCTTGTGTCAATTTTATCATTCTACTTTAATTTGTAGTAACATTAAGCATGCAATTTATTTTACAATTTTCTTTTCAAAATGTAATTTGATATTAACGCTTAAAAATGTCAAATCAGCAAGAAAAAAAATATCTTTCATGTGTTTTAGTAATATTCATCACTAAGAGGATTTCTCATGTTTATGAATTCTACTGATGCATATGTTTTTCTTTTTAACAAGGTTTATCGAGAGATATCGCCTGCAGTCATATGAGATCCATCCTCCTCTTCACAGAATCCATTAGATCCGCCTGTCCATTTACAGCCTGCACACGATGCACATCATGTGAGAAGAAATGTGCGTCCATGGGACAGAATGTGAATACTACGGCCAGAGGAAGTTATTATCTGACCACTGATCCGGCGTCCCCTTTCTGTCAGCAATAATATACGAGGGCTGTTCAATAAATAATGTCCTCGGTGCTCAGAAAGAAGCAAAAGACGCTTTTCAATGATTTAGTCTTAATAATTTAACTTAATATTCTCTTTCAATTAAAACCCATGTCGATAAAATTTTTTATCCAACTTCTGATTGTTTTTAGAACTCATTTTTGGGTATCACCCGTAGTATACTGGAAAATGGCAGATCTTATGATTTCCTGGACTAGCTTCTTCGTTCTGAAAGGTGTTTTTTCAAGTTTGGAAAATGAAACAAGTCAAAAGGCGAAAGATCTTGCGAATATTGTTAGTGTGAAAAAAATTCATTTTCTATTTATCCCAAAAACTCCTTCACTCTTCATGGCGTGCAGGCGTGGACGCTGCAGAAATTTAATGTAGTGGATTCCTGATTCTGGTTCCTTCCTCTAATTAACCTTTGATTTTTTTGCAAAAAAATTGCTTTCTAGACTAGCTCTTCCAGAAATTGAACCGCCTCCCCGAATTTTAACAATAAGACCACTAATATTTAAGAAAATTGCATATAAAACTGTTTTTGTGCTCTTGCAATTCTTTGCTCTTCTCAGACTTTTGCTGTTTTTGTCAAGTACATCTTATCGTAAATTTTGTTTCGAGGGTTTTAAGCAATGGATTCAAGTTTCTTTATCTGTTTGAATTTCAAACAAACTTGTATAACTACAATTTTTCATTTTTTAAAATAATTGTTCAGATATTCTTACACGCTGTCGTTTTCATTCATTTTTCGAAACATGGGGTGACCTTTGAATACTAAACTTTTTTACTGTCAAACGTTTCTTTAAAACAGTGTGAACTACTCCCGAAATGATGTCTATCAAATTTGCTATGTGTCTTAAAGTCAATCATACATCATCAGCGATTATTTGTTGAAAACTGGCAAACAGTACATGAGTTGTTATAATTTTTGTTGGCAAGGAAGGTACCCATATTTGATGCCCATTATCTATTTTTTTTATCATCTAAATCCACCTGCTCATTTGTCAGACATTGGTTGCCGTAAATGTTACATATTTCACTGAATATTTCATTGGGATTCTTAACGAGTTTTACAGCAGCTTGAATGAAGCGTTTAAGTTCACTCTAGTTTACTGAATCTTTACCGTTCGTTTTACATGCAGTGTCACGAATAGCCCTAAGGCTTGTTTTTCCAGCTTCTCACAATGAAACTATGCGATGAAAAGTGGTCACATAAAGTGTTATAAATTCATTGAAGATTCAATAATGCGAAAAAGTCAAGCTTAATGTCATATGATATCTGTATTGTATGTCATGCAGTTCAGGACATTTATTATTTATTGAACATCCCTCGTATCTGACTACAAACTCAACTTCGCCATTCTGTCTAAAATCTCGGTGGAAATCACGACCTTTTCAGCACATACAACTTATCATTAAGTCAAATGCGGACTGATTTTTTTCATGCTGATTGAAAGGCTTTTTTACATACTGAGTTGCCACGGATTTCTTCCGTTATTTCCTGATAAAGACAAGGAGCACACAGCGGGTGTGACCCGTCGTCAGGAGATGCTCACTCCTCCATTGCACCTGATCCCACCTCTGATGTTTTGAAGATCCGTGTTTGCTCCGCTCCTATTTTGTAATGTTCAATGGACTTTTCAGCTCAAATACTGTTTGCTATCTCCACGTATTTCATAAATGTGACCACTACTTCAACTTTTTTTCAAAATAATAATTCAGATAATGTTTATATCTGCCCACTTGCTAAGGTTAAGTTTTCTGTCAAAAATCTCAACAAAAAGGCCAGCAGATGTTCTTATTTAACCACTAATCATGCTTATATTTCGATGACATTTCCACCTTTCTGTCAACAGTTGGGCAAAAGGAAGTTTATCATTTCCTAACCATAAACTCAGCATTACTATCTGTCAACAATAGGTCAGAGATGTAATCTTCTGACTTCCACTAAGCAGTATCTTTCAATAAATCCTTTCGTGAGTACTATGGTCGATACAATGAACTTGTCAGCAAATACAATTTATCATAAAGGCAAATGCTAACTGATGTTTTTCATACAGATTGTTCGGCCATTATATACTGAATTGTCGACGGTTTTTTGTTGTTGTTATTTTCCGATCATGACAAGGAGAACATGGCGGTTGTTACCGGTCAGGGATGCTCACTTCTACGTGGCACCTGATCCCACCTCCGATTTTTTGGAGGTACTTGTTTGCTCTGCTCAAATTTTGTATTGTTTAATGGACTTTTTAGCTTGAATACTGTTCGTAATCTTTATATATCTCGGTCAACTTTCAGCAAAAGTCCAGAGGAATTAAATTTCTGACCTCTCAATTAATTCCATCCCTCTGTAATCAATAAGCCCAGTGGAAATTATATTATTTGCCCACTATCCGAGCTTAATCTCTCTGTGGTGCAATAAGAGCAGTGGAAGTTAATATATCTGACCATTAACTCAGCTGAAACTGTCTGTCAAAAATCTCAATCATTGCTGGACATACCATCTGACCATTTCATTCATAATTTTTGTCAGCAAAACGGCAAATTGAAGATATTAGCTGACAAAAAAAATTCTTTATAATGTTACTCTGCAAGAGCAGCAGGGCAAATAGTTTGTGTCAAGGAATCTGGTGGACAACACAGTCTATATATATTTAATGTTAGGTGAGCATTGTGACCATTGGGCATCTTGTAAACGTTATCATTTTAAGGCATCATATATATGCTTTTTTCTGAGTTACTACACAAATACACATACAAAACTGTACAATGATTTCAAGAAAATCAGTATGACAAGCACTTTTAAAATCTTTAATCTCTGTTTAAAATCCTGTAATATCTGTATAACAAGTAATTTTGCAGAAATATTTAACAAATAACAGGTATGTTTGTACATGACAACATGCAGTAGACTAACTCAAAACACAATTCAATGAAAAAAAAATAATTTGCTTTCTTGCTTCATCTTTGCTTACAAATGGTTAAAAAAAATCTTTTGATAAGATGAATTTATTTGAAAAGATATTATTTTCAAGACATGTTATAGGGAAAAGATTTTGAGATAGATATTGCATTTTTTATAAATGAAACATATGAGAACAAAATTACATTAATGAATACATTAACAATTAAAGCACACCAAAACCATATTTAATATGTCACTAGTTTTACTAGTGATCTATGAGGTACTTTGGTTTTTTAGTCCCATCCAACAAAAACAAAAACAAAAAAATCAAGTTTAGTCATTTTTGTTAAGATTTCATAAACTTCAATTTGCTCGAGATTTTCCTGTTAATTCTTCTATTCTTATATTTGGGCAACAATCTGTCAGAAAAGTACATATACCAAAATTATCATACAAGAAATACCAAAATTGAATATTGTTATTGCACATTTTAATTTAACACTTCCATCAAAAATGATAAATAAAATAATTTTCAAATTGTTAATAGTTATGTTACTGCTTTAAGGATAGATAAAACTGGCCACTTTCATTTTTTCTTTCACAAAAAAATACAAAAAAGTAACAATATTGAACTTCAAGGCGCAAACAGACATAAATTCAACATTACAAGTATGGCATACAATGATCAAAACACCGGATAGAATTAATTAAAGAAAAGAAATACTGAAATTAAAACATAGAAATTTTAAAATCCTTCAAACATACAAATGTTCCATTTATATCTCACACTCTCAAAAGTAACATAATTTACTCTGAATCAGTTCACTGTAACATTTTAGAAAACTGTCTTATGACTTAACAGTATAAAGCTCACTTATTATGAACAAGATGAATAAAACTACATTGATATTGAATCATTTTCCCTAAACAGATATCAGAAATTTTGAATTTTAGAGCATGGTGCAGTGGTTAGAGTGTCTGCTGTAGATCCTTACGTCACTGGTTTGAATCCCACTGTGGGATGTGTAGACTGGCCCTTCAGAAGAGACCGTATAAATTGAGGTCCTGTGTTGCAACTTAGGTGATGACACACAAAGATCCCTCCCTGCTCATTTAATGGCCTTAGTGCCAAGCAAAGGCAAAATTTGTGGCTCTCCGCCAGAAAGTGGTAGCATCTCTATTTGAGTGAAAAATTCTTAATAGGGACATTAAACAACAAACAAACAACTTCTGAAATAACTGTGCATGGTGAACTATTACATAAAACTAAGAAATTGACCCATCAGCAGAAACCCACAGAGGGATTCCAATCTAATGATGCAGGGGAAAAAACTTTTCTCTTTACCTTTTTAAAAAATAGAACAGTTTCAGCAATGTGAGGTCGAAAATCAAAATAATGGCACTATCTACAAGTATGGCATTTTTTTCTACAATGAACTGCAGATTATATCTAAATTAAGCACATATAAATTAACACACATGAATATACATAATGCCTTTTTCTACAATCAAATGAATGGATTGAGCAGGCAAGTATGGCAGAATTAAATATTTGTAGAATATAAGAATATTTTACAAAAAGAGACATAGGTAGCAAACAGAGACTAGAATGATTTTAAACAAAGAAAAATAAATATATTCAGAGCATATTAATAACTTATATAAATACTCTCTGTGGAGAAATTATTATATTGCAGCTATAAATGTACATGAGCAATACATTTCAGAAATTAACGTTGTTATACTGCAAACCAAAACATAAAATGCCAAGAACATCACATCTATGGTCCACCTATATATACACTTGTAACATTGAATGTGAGTTGAGTCATTTTTCTTGATATCTGTATAAACAATCTAATTCAGCTAATTCTTAAGCAAATTTAAATACACTGTACATAATAAATGAGCTGAAAGAAATGATAAATGCCAATTTTGAGTATTTCATGGTAAGAAACATTATGTTTGCCTAATTGACGGGGTTAATTAATTGTTCATCAGTAAAACTTTTAAGAACATATGTGCAAAAAGTTTTAAAAATAATTTCGTACAGAAAGAATGAAGATTTCAATACACTTTTAAAAAAAATGAATATTTCTTCAGTCTGTTTACAGATAATCACTTTAGGTCTATTAAATTTATCAAAATAAAGACTGAGTTTATGGCTTTACAAGTTGTTTCATTCGAGCTAACAATTTATAATACCAAAATATGAGAACTAACCTTGAGTTACACATTACATGTAAATGAAAAAGATGGTGTAAAAAGTAATAACACTGATGCACACCATTCCATGCTTTCTGAGAAAAATATTTAAATTCAAAGTTTTCTTTAAAAAAAAAAATCAAAATGACTTTCTTTAATTTAGAGACATAAAAAACTGTATGTTTGTTTGTGAGAAAAAAAGGTAGCAAACTATTGATCAATTTTTAGTCGGGCTTTGCTAAAAGCAAAGTCATGGCTATAGGCATCATGATCGACCGTCTTACTATAAATAGCACAGTAAACAAAAAACCAAACAGCGTCAAAGCAGACGCTTGGACCGATAAACAAAATAGTCCAATTGCGAGACGACATTCAAACAAATATTTTTAACATCCCAATCGTTGGAAAAGTTAATGATCAATATTTTTGCTTGAGAATTAAACTGAAAGAGAGAGTAGATATTTGGTTTATTGGGATAATCTTGATGTAATATAAATGTAAGGCATATACGGGCTTTTTGAAATGTTGAAATTGTTGAAGAGTTTCATGTTTCATATCGTTTTTGTTGATGTTATTGGTGGTTATATTCTGTTTTGATTTTTATCAAATTAATAGTATAGCGAATTGGAATTTTAAGAATTAACATGCGTGAAGTTGCTTGACAATGTACACGTATCAGTGTTTCTACATGTAGTTGGCGATAAAAGTACTGTTTGTTTAAAACTAAAGAATGTGTATAAAATACAAATGTGCATTATTTTAACTATTTCAAGACTGAATTTTTAAATTATGAGAAAAAAATGCTTATTGAATAGAAAAAATGCGAGAATTTCATGGAAATATTATTTATTAAATTTTATCTTGGGGACTGGACTGTTAATTTTAATTACTGGATATAAGATATTGTTTTCATCATAATATTTTTTAAAAATCAATAGCCAAAAAGAAAAACCAGAAGTCTCTGTTGAGAATTAAACTTATAAGAGAAATTAGATATTTGGTTTATTGGGATAAAGTCTCTGATGTAGTCTACTTGTGTGCCAATTTGTGCACATAAACTGTAGGAGGAGTGCTGAATGCATATTTTTAGTAACCACGGCAACACAGTTCATCAAAATTAAAATTCAATACACAGAATTATGGCTTTGTGTGCCAAGTTATATTGAATGTTGAAAACTGTAGGAGGAGTAGTTTTGAAACAGTTTTACATGTTTTTAGTAACATATCACCATTTTTTGTTATGTATGTTATTGGTGGTTATATTTTGTTTCAAAGAAATTTCTATTTTTAGATTTTTATTAAATTAAAACCGAGTATAATTATGAAGTGTAGTCTACTTGTGTGCCAATTTTAAGAAAAACTGTAACATTTTGTTTCACAGAAATTTCTATTTTTAGTCCACGGCAACACCGTTCACAATGTACACAGAATTATGTAACTTAGTGTATTCTACTTGTGTGCCAAGTAATACTGAAATCAGACCAAAACTGTAGGAGGAGTAGCATTTTGAAAGAATTTCACAGAAATTTCTATTTTTAGTAACACGGCAACACCCTTCATCGAAATCAAAAACCGATATTCAGAATTATGTATCTTAGTGTATTCTACTTGTTTGCCAAGTTATACTAAATCAGAAAAACTGTAGGAGGAGTAGCATTTTGAAAGAATTTCACAGAAATTTCTATTTTCAGTGGCATTATTTTAGAATTATGTTCTTAGTGTAGTCTACTTGTGTGCCAAGTTATACTGAGGAGGAGTAGCATTTTTAAATTTCACAGAAATTTCGTTTTTAGTAACCACGGCAACACCCTTCAAAAATGCTTATTGAATAGAAAATATGCAACATTTTGATTTCACAGAAATATTATTTTTACCATAAATTTTAAATTCATAACATATCTTGTGTGCCAAGTTATACTGAAATCAGACTGTTAATTTTAATTACAGAAATATATAACCATGGCAACACGTTCATCGATCAAAAACATACAAACTCTACCTTATATTGTTAAAAATCAATTGTTTACAGCCAAAAAGACAGAAAAAAAATTAAATATGTACTAAATATGTACTAATTTCAGATCAGACAATATACTCGAGTAATTAAAGCCCGGCTTTCAGTTCTTTCAATACTTTGATAAAAGTATAGCATTTGAAAAAAAAAAAAAAAACTACGATATTCCTTTAGTATATTTTCTTTACAAGTCAATTAAAGCTTGTATTAAAATATTTTTTTCTTCCGTAAGTATATCTCATGCATGATGGCTTCTAATATCACAGATTTGTAAGACAGCTCTCATTTGCAGGATGTAGAATATGCACCAATCAGCATTTGATGTAACTGTATAGCTTTAATTTGATTGGCTGAATATCTGCAAACACTGTTAGTTACAATGTTTCATTGGTTGATTGTGGCAATGCTGCCTTGGATTTTGGATAAACAACAAACAATCCCAGTTGGAGAAGTCCTAGAGCTATCCCTATCAGATTAGGCATCTACAATAAGGGTAAAATATATCATTGATGAAAATTAAAAGCAAGAGATTGCAAAGATACTAAGGGGTACCAAGTTGAAGGTAATGTTACAATTATCTTTTTAACGGTGCTTTCCCTTTATTTATTTCAAAATAAAGGGTTAAGATCCATTGTAACAGGCTAGGAGCTGAGGTTTATGAACAAAATCTCTGTGGACCTTACTGTAACGTTTCCGCCTGTTCCAGGGTTTGTTACAATGAAAATAAATTATTGTGGGTCTCCTGTTTCTGAATTTTACCCTTTAACTCTAAATGAAAAGTCAGGTTGCAAATTTATAAAATTTATTATGGTGCAAACAATGAATAACAAATAACAATAAGATAATTGGCAATTAGGCAATAATAAATTATGGGTTACCCGACAATAAAAAGGTATCGGTTACCGGGTTACCGGAAATAAACAATGAATCAATTGGGTATGGATCTGCCGGGATTGGCATCAATGAATCAATTGGGTAATTTACCTGCCGGGCTTGGCAGATTGGGTTACAAATCAATTGGGTATGGATCTGCCGGGCTTGGCAGATTGGGTTACAAATCAAATGGGTATGGATCTGCATTACCAAATATTGGTAATGGGTTAATTTACCCAATAAGGGGCATCAGATTTTACCCACTTCTGGGGAGTTGGGATTCTTAGAGCTGGTCAGATGTTGTGACTACCAACGTCCCACTTCCAAAGTGACTTCATTATATACCTTTTCATCACTACAATTATCACGTGCGAATAACCAGCGGTACCGCCAGTATTCGCGTATTTGTATGGAACACAAACAACTTTTGCATCAAGTGAAGGCCTTAGCATTACAAATGCGGGAAAAGGGATGCTATTGTTGTTTGGGATTCGTTTTAGAGTTGATTTTGGTCACTTTTGTGAAATGACAATGCCAGACGGCCATTTGTTATTACGAAAGGGCTGATCGATTGAGGAAATTTGGGTTTGTACATTACAATGAAAGGATTTCCATGAAATAAACATATACAATGAATTATAAAGCATACATTAATAACATACGATGATTGGTAATATTCCCATGATATCTACAAATTAATTTACGATTACTAGATTAAATATTTAGGACATAAATTGGGGTGATCCAACCTGTGGGTTATTTTGGGTCATGGGGAAAATCCGTAACAGAGCTCCCCCTCCATGAAAACATTCGTCCCGAATGTTGGGTCGTTTTATCAAATCTCAGTTTTGGGACTGTATTTCATGGGAATATTGTCATGAAAAGTAACATTTGCAATATGAATAAACATAATCAGGGGCCACAAAAATACATACATAGCAATAATAACAATGTGGTCAATAGTTATGAATCATAGTTATGAATAACAATAATATGAATAACAGTTCATCAATTATTAATACATCTACTTTTACCAAAATGTTTTTGTTCATCACAGTTCATCACTTCTTACCAATCCTGGATCCATTGAAATAGAAAAGTCACAACGGAGACACACAGATCTCGATCCACACAACAAATATTCACAATTATTATACGGTTCACAAAGTTATACGATATAGTCCTTTGAAATATCCAAAAGGTTCATGCACGTAATCAAAATGTCAATCAATGTCCGGAAGTACATCATACGGTTTGGAAGGCTTCCTCACGGCAAGGTATGAACTAGGGATCATCATGTCTCTGTTAAGTGATGGGTATGACACATATGATTTTCCAACACCATTTCGTAATTTTTCATTGTTGGGGTAGGATTTGATAACTTGTAGGGCATAAAATTCATGGCAATTTTCTTCAAATGGAACTCTTGCTTTGGTTCATTCATAATTTCTTTGGGGATTTTCTCAACATTCATACATTGCAAGTGGTCTGAAAATTGGGGGTTGAGCTCTTGGCTAAAAGCATTAATGGTATTGGTATTGGTTGGGTTTTCCAATACACGTAGTACTTTTTCATAACATTTGACCGTGGCACATAGGGTATTCTCATATGGTTTGCTACATTCATCTTTCATATTCATGTGACAAACTGCGACTTCTCTGTCTACAGTTACAGGGGTTTGGGGAATCTTTAATTTACATTTCTCATCAAAATTTTGTATTTGTTTACAGGGGTTATCCTTTTGGGATCTAATCACAATTTTTATCCTTGGCATATATCTTGCCACAGGACACAATTTTTACACAAGATTTACTAAAGCAGGGAATGTCTAGACCCTGTACCTTTAGTTTCATCTGTTTTACAAAAAGTTCACATGAATTCTGGGTCATAATAATCCCAATATGCATGGGTTTTGTATGTCATCTTTATGGGTAACATGAAAATTTTCAAGGGATATTTTGATTGGGCATTCTCCCTTAACTGGGATTTCACTACCACTTGCAGATGTAAGTTTGATAGATACTGGTGTAATTTGGGGCTTTTCCATAGTATCTAAATTTTCTAAGAATTGGGTGTTTACAATAGTCACACTAGCACCTGTATCAACAAGTATATTTGTTTCTTTATTTCCAATTTTTCCAACAACATAAATTCCATCATTTTCCCCATTTGTATCTCTCACTAAAATTCCTTTGGGGATAGGTTCAGTACAAGGGGTTTCTTTCTTGGATTTGAATTCCATTTTATTTTCAATATTGGGTTTGGGATTTAGTGAGAGAGGTTGATGAGCCATATTTAATGGCAAGTTATATATATGCCCTTGCATGAAAACATTTATACAAATTATTTTGACTTGGGTTTATGGGGTAATTGTTACATGTGTGTGGGTGAAGCAAAATTTTGTTTTGGTAGTCGGGTTTACTGAATTTCCATAGAGGGAATAATTTTAGTTTGGTATGAGTTCTCATATACATGATAATGTGCAATGATTTCTGCCAATTTTGGGTAGGCATTTGACAATTTCTTATAATTCTTGGGTAAGGGATTGGTCATCATAAACTTTGAATGGGTTCTGTTTTGTTAATGGCAAAATTTCTTTGGGCATCTGCCAAAATTGTTCCAACCGAATGGCCAAAATTTCACTTCATTAATGTCTTTGGGCCTTGCCTCTCTTAAAATATCAGGGTCAGGTAGGGCATCTATGATTGTTCAAAAATAACAAAGTGTTGGGTAGGCATGGCGGGTTAATTTTTTGGATTGGGCCAGTTCAGATATGGTTTCATTTTTCCCTATTTTGGGTTGGGCTCAAAATTATGACAGAGCGAATATAATTGTAATCTGTATATATTTTTTAATAAAGTGTTATTTGCAAGGCTGCTGGCTAAGAACCTAAAAAATATATAAAAATGGACCAGGAAATCATTTGCATACCATCAAAATCTTTTAACTTTACGGGTGCGTTGGATTTAACAGACACTGGGTAATGGGTTCTTTTTCTTGAGGAGTTGAAAACTCATTTTTGGATGGTCATTTATGGAAATGGACCGGGGGCAAACCCAAATGAGACACTGTAGGGACAATTGGACTCATTTACATTGTTGGTTTTGGATTGGGTTGTATAAATGTGATGATTGTTCCCCTGTCACTATATAATTTTCTAAGTTCAGCATTATCCCTTTGCAAGATTTCATTTTGTTTTTCAACATGCTGAAATTTCATTTTCATTTCTTGACTATCTTGTTCAAATTTGGATTTTTCATGTAACATTGAGAGAATACATCAAGTTGATTATCTCTTGCAGGTACATGTAGCAATGAATTTGATGCCGGCATGGAATGGTGACTTGGGATATCCGGGCGGTCACGAGAATTAACATGAACATTGGGTGAAATTGGGTGTGGTTTAAAAGTAATTTCAAAACTTTCATCCGCCTCCATTGTACAAAATTTGTACCCAAAAGAAATATTTGAAGTAATAAAAATTTACAAAAATATTAAGAAATGGTTTTGTTTTTTTCTTAGGGTAAACAAAAACAAGATATAAAATATCCCACTGAAAAAGAAATTAATTGTTACAATAAAAGTTATTGTGGGTCTCCTGTTTCTGAATTTTACCCTTTAACTCTAAAGAAAAGTCAGGTTGCAAATTTATAAAATTTATTATGGTGCAAACAATGAATAACAAATAACAATAAGATAATTGGCAATTAGGCAATAATAAATTATGACCCGAATAAAATTAAAATGAACTTATAAACAATAAATTGGGTATCTGCCGGGATTTCTCTGATCATTGCACTAGCTCATTTAGAACGGATTAAATTCATTTTGGGTTACAAATCAATTGGGTATAATCATTGGCAAAACAAAAGAAATGTATGGATCTGCCGGGCGGTTACCAAATATTGGTAATGGGTTAATTTACCCATTAAGTGCATCGTAAATAATTTGGGGAGTTATAGCTGGTCAGATGTTGATTTACCCGTAGACCTAAGAAAAAGTCCAAAGTGACTTCTTTATATACCTTTTCATCACTAGGGCCGATTTCACGTGCGAATAACCACGGTACCGAATTCGCGCGACGTTTGTATGGTAACACAAACAACTTTTGCATCAAGTGAAGGCTTTATCATTACAAATGCGGGAAAAGGGATGATCTGTTTTTGGAATTGTAACGATGCCAAGTTGGATTTGGGTACCTTGATTGAATAACAATGCCAGACGGCCATTTGCTATTACGAGTGGGCTGGTATATGGAGGAAATTCGGGTTTGTACATTACAATGAAAGGATTTCCATGAAATAAACATATACAATGAATTATAAAGCATACATTAATAACATACGATGATTGGTAATATTCCCATGATATCTACAAATTAATTTACGATTACTAGATTAAATATTTAGGACATAAATTGGGGTGATCCAACCTGTGGGTTATTTTGGGTCATGGGGAAAATCCGTAACATTACAATTAGATTATTACTATTAGATTTTGATTTCGGCGGGTATTTGGTTCTTTGGGGGGGGGGGGGGCACTTTTAACTGACCTTTATAAATTTATTAAACTTAATTTACCTGTACATACTGATCTTCAAGAAGAGAACCATAGATGAACCATTCAATGGAGACAATGAAGTAAGCTAGCACCAAGGGGAAAGACATGACATCTGTACTACGACTTCTGAACACATCAAACTACAAAACACAAATCATAAAAGACAAATGATAATTGACTACTGTGTATTATATAAGAATCAAACCTCAATAAGAAACTTTTTTAATATTCCTTTTTTATGTTAATAAAAAAAATCTCAAACTGTACTGAACTATGAACACATACTTGACCCAAAAGCCATGATTAAAATAATATACACATATAAATGAAAGCTTTCAAACTATTTCTAAATAATGCTGCATGGTCTTTATTTATGATTCAATAAAAGAATGGAGTTTTTTCTTATAAAAGCAGAATCTTTGTGTAACTATGATCTGTACGAGTATGATGAAGTAGTTTTAATAAACAGTAAATCAATATACATATTGCATGATCAAGAGGGAAATATGAAGATTTATAAAGCCAAGAAAAATAACGCGCGCGCTTCACTGATTATCATTTTTTTTTAAAATCTTTATAATTCCTGCATTTGTTAATCAAGCAAATGTAGATATTTTGGTAAGGGTGACCCATGACATCAATGAACACTGATCCCCCTACAAACAATGATGATTTGACAGTATACATAAAATCATCATTCTCCCCTTTATTAAATAATTCTCAATCACGACAATTTAGGAGCACATGGCTGGGGTAACAGGTCGGCAAGGGATGCTCACTCATCCATGGCACCTGATCCCACCTCTGATGTTTTGGAGGTCCGTATTTGCTCCTCACCTATTTTGTATTGTTTAAAGGCCTTTTGAGCTTGAATTATTTTTTCTATCTTCATATATCTTCAAACATACTTACAAGAGAAGCAAGAGGGGCTGCGTAGCTGACAACCGTCATGATAACGCACATCTTGCCCAGGTGGGCTACGGCCAGCTGTACGTCCTCTATATACATTCCAATGTACACATAAGGTAGGCATATTGCTAGGCAACTACATGCTATAAACCGGCCAATCAAAGTCTAAAAATAAATCCAGATATTAAAGTTATATATGGCCTTGCATGAAAACATTTGTACATAGAGTTGGGGTTCAATGTATGTGGGTAAGCAAAATTTTTGGTTCAAAGTTGGTTCAAGAGGACATAATTTTGTTGGTAACTCATAAATGCATAAATCAATGATTAAATATGTTGACAAAATAATTCTTTAGTTGGACATAAATTTGTTGATATTAAAGTTTGACCCACAAAATCCATAAAAATTGTTCTCTCATAAACAATGATGTTTTCAAAGTACTGTAGATCACTTAAATATCACGACAACTTACATTTTACATTTGTGGGATAGTCATTAACTCTTTGTAAGTGAGAAAAAATTTTCAGGACTTTTGATTATTTATATAATAGTGTTGTACTTTGCATGTTAGGTATTGATTATATAGAGAGAAACTGACAGGAAGCATAATAATGCTCTATATAACCTAAAGAAATACTATTATATGCGAGAATGAAATTTTCGTGAGCATTAAATTCTTTAATTCTCAAAAAAAAAAATCTTGTGAATAATAAGTGATTTACAGTACACACTTTTCACATAACAAATTTTTGTGTTAATTACATAACAATTACAAACAAACAAACAAACAAACAAACAGACAGAGCCTCACCTTTCTGATGGAGTACACATAGAAGAAGATGACATATAACAGGGACAGGAGAGCACCGATACTGTTAACAATTATCACAGACTGAATTGTGGTCATCAATCCATACTTCACCCACAGGCAGGCCCTGATAATATAAATAACAGTAACACAATAATTACAAATATTACAATATTATTATAATTACAAATTTGCAATTGTATTCTTCTTTGATGAAATATGTGTAATACACAAAAAGGTAACACATTCTTAGGCTTATAATGCAATAAATAACTATGTACTTATGCAATAAATTACCATCTACTTAGTATGCAATAAATTACCATGTACTTATGCATTAAATTACCATCTACTAAGTATGCAATGAATTACAATGTACTTATACAATAAATTACAATGTACTTATACAATAAATTACAATGTACTTATACAATAAATTACAATTTACTTACGCAATAAGATTGGCTGCAAAAGGAGCAGGTGATATGTCTCCAGTTGTTCCCTTCTTCCAGATTTTGAAACATATTTCACTGTTAAAAAAAATATAATGTATAATTTGTAAACAGTACACATGTATATTATTTAATTTGCTTTTTGTTAAACAAAAGAAGCAGAGCAGAGGAAAACATAAAAGATATAGAAAAGGTGTACAATTTTAAGACAGATACCTGAAACAGGTCATTAGAAGAACATCCCACAGTAAAAAATTATTTGTAAATTAACTTACAGGCCTAGAATATTGCGAACTATACAACTTCATTACAATATTGTAATCTAAAGAGGTAATTTACAGGTCCACAAACTATACAGCTTTATTACAATATTGTAATCTACAGAGGCAACTTAAAGGCCCACAAATTGTACAGCTTTATTACAATATTGTAATTAACAGATTTAATATACAGGCCCACAAACTATACAGCTTTATCACAATTATATTGTAATTTACAGATTTAATATACAGGCCCACAAACTATACAGCTTTATTACAATATTGTAATTTACAGAGTTAATGTACAGACCCACAAACTGTACAGCTTTATCACAATGTTGTAATTTACAGAGTTAACGTACAGATCGACCCACAAACTGTACAGCTTTATTACAATATTGTAATCTATTGAGTTAACGTAACTATACAGCTTCATTACAATATTGTAAACTATAGACTGAAGTAATTTCGACACACAAACTGTACAGCTTCATTACAGTATTGTAATCAACAGAGAAAACTTACAGGCCTACAAACTTTACAGCTTTATAACTATTGTAGACTATAGAAGTAACTTAGACACACAAACTGTACAGCCTTTTTACAATATTGTAATCTTCAGGGGTAACTTACAGGCTAATACAAACAGTGTACCTTCATTACAATATTGAATTCAACTTATAGGCCATCAAATTATACAGCTTTATTAAAACATTGTAATTTATACAGGTAACTTAGACACACAAATTGTACAGCTTTATTACAATATTGTAAACTATAGAGGTAACTTACAGGCCCACAAATTGCACAGCTATGGAGGAGAATGTACACATCCATCCTAGGACAGAAAGAACCTCCATCAAAGCTCACACGACAGAGCTTCAGTCATTAACTGCAATGAAATGTTTCGTAAAACTAATTCATAAAAAATTATATTTTGTTCAATACATATACAAGGGAACACCACAGCAAAGCAGAGGAACCTCTCACTAAGAGCATACCTATAAATCAAGGCAGCATATGACATTGATCCTTATGCAAATAACGTCACTTCTGTTTCACATGGGACATTCTAGCACACATTAAGTAACACACATACAGGCATGTTATGATTGGCAACAACTCTGTTGCAATGGGATAATACACCATTATTATTGGTAAACTAGCTTAACAAGGAAACTATAAATTTACTAGTATGCTAAACATGCTAAGGGTATGAGCTCGAAGTGACAAGCAATGCTCTGTGCTGCTCATTTTTAAGTTCCCTTTTAAAATGAAAAAAATGCAAACTTTTCATCACAAGCTCATCTTAAATATATAAATTTAACTCACTACAAATACTACACTTCAACAAATTCAAATGTATAGTATATATAATTTAAAGTAGCTTACCTCTTAATTACTCAGAAACATCTGCTCTGAAACAAAACATAAAATACTCTCATTATGCCTCATGAAGAAATAAATTTGTAAACAATAATGCCCCCAACACAAATGAAACATGCTTTAGTAAATTAATCTTTATCAAAACATATTTAAACAGTTTAATTCACAATAGCTTAAATTACAAGCTATCTATAAATATTTTGAGTTAGGTGTATCATTTACTTTGTCAAGCTACACATTTTATACAAGAAAGAAATATTGCTGCCTCTATAGAATTAAATTCATAAACAAACGTTGTAATTTACGTCTAAGACGCAAAACATGTAAATTGATCTTCTAACAGTCTAAATCTGATACAATTTAAACACATTCAATTAAATAAAAGAAATCTATGGTTGTTAAATGATTGATAGAATGATAATAGCTCTATACTTCCTGAAAAAGTACATACATTTGTAATTCAACAAAATTAAAGCCCACGTGAACACGTATACGTGCTACCTATGTAAATATTGTGACGCGTCATTTTCTACTTTCATTTTCGAAATCCAATAAAAGGGGGAAAACGAAATAATACATCATCTTGTCCCAAGAAATAAATTTATATTTCAGTATTTTGTTAATTTTCACAAATATTAAAAATAAATATTTACGTAATTGATGCAGAAAACTTATTAAACAGTTCGATTCTCTAATTTCGTTTTTGGACATTTTGAAATGTTTATCTTCTTGTGGAGCACGTGTCGATGGATGTCACGATCATAACCAACTCTTTAAGCGAAAAGTTTATAGCTACAGCTTGTTTTAATTGCCAGTAAATGATATACACAAGGCTCCTAGGAAGGTTGTATAGTCTTCTCCATTTACAATTATTCATGTTTGACTTTCATGCAATTTTCAACAAGTGCATTTATTTCCCCCCATATTTCACTCAGTTTTTAAGGATCAAGTACATTGTAAATACAAGATATACTTGATAAAAAATATGCTTTCAGGCTTAAATATGTTTGCATGATTTTTAAAAGAAAAGATTATTTTTGTAGATTTCATTTACTTCTTTTTCAAGAGCGTTAGAAAGATAAAAGAATGCCAAAGTCAAAGAAAAAGAAAAACCAAGACTTCCAGAAAGTTAAACTGAAAGTAGGCAGAAAATTACAGAAGGCTGACAATGTAACGAATGCAAGCTTCAAATCTAGATCTGTCCAAGTGGTACAGCATATCAAGACAGGGGATGGAAACCAGCCCACTACAAAACGCAACCTTAGTATAGGGGTGTGTAGTGCATACAAGTTTATGTATCAAATTCTGTATAAACTATCAAAGACTTCATAATTGTAAGGTTTTCTTTAAAAACTGTCTGACATTAAGAATTAAACACATATTTAAAGATTTTATACATTCTGTCCTTTGAAATGAAATATTCGTTCTTTCAATTGATACACTATGCATGTGGAAGAGCAGTATTTTGATATATTAGTATGGATCGACATCTGATAAACATCTTTTGACAATTTAAATTATTTATTTTTTAGGATTTACTGAACCAGTGTCAGCATTACAGTACCACAGTTAGACTTGATGCGGTCAATGGCTTACGAGAACTTCTGTCCTCTCATCCAGCACTCCTTGAGCATCGCCTCTCTCAGACGATTGACCGTATCTCCCAACTAATGGTGGACAAGGACCCAGTTGTGAGATCAGCACTGACCAAACTCTTCCGACAAATTGTTCCATCGGTCCCACTTCACAAAATGCGACCTTTTTTCCCAATTATCAGTGCGCATGTGTGCTGCTCTATGACCCACATTTGTGAAGACATTCAAAGAGACTCCTTGCAGATTCTCGATATTTTCCTAGAATTTTACCCATCTCTGATTGTGGACCAATCCAGTCAAATTATTCCCAATTTTATTGAGCAGATTTCTCACCAGAATGCCTCCAAGAAATTGAATGCTGGAGGTAGGTCTCTCAGTGTGAAACCAGATGGGAAGATTCAGGCTCATAAGTGGAGGATCCAGGTTCTCACGCGGCTTGGCAAGTTATTATCAACACTGATAGAGAGTACAGGTGCTTTGAATTCTGGGTCAGTAATTGACGAGAAAGAGAAAGTTGTAAAGGTCATGTGGAGGGAGGATGAAGAGGTATCTTATGCCCCCTGTCCCAGTCATTTTCAGAATGTCTGGACATCTCCAGGATGTAAAACAAGGTTTGTATAACTTTATTAAATGTCTTATGTTTAACAGTGTCATCATTTAGCTCATTAAACAACTAGATGCATACTTATATGTGGTAATACTTGTTTATATAGACTACAAATATTATGATCTTTTGACATTAATTTCTGTCATTGTATTGTTATTTGTGTTAATTAATACATAACTGGTAAAGGCAATTATTGTAGTTTATGGAGAGTTGTCAACAACTTGGAAATATTCTTATTTAGTCCATCATTTCTTCATTAATTTCAGTTCTATGAAGAATCTCCTCTCTACAGAGATGGAAGCGAGAGGTTTTAATCTGAGGGAACCTCAGGGGGTACTCAAACTTGTGGAGACAATAGTACCCATCTTACTGGAGTGTTGGGTGGAGGCCACAGCTATACAACACAAGGCCATAGAAGGTGACTTGTCTCTTAAAAATTGACCCCTGCTTAATGAGATGTGAATATATTTTCTGCATAAATTTTATTTCTTTATAAGGGTTTGAGTGACACTAGAGAGTTTGCTCTGATTTTTTTTTTTTTTCATTTTATATACATGTAGGTTCCCTATTGTCAGTGGATGCCTGCTCATTGCGACACAATGTGGTGAAAATCATAAAACTTCTCTGGCAATATGCTGGACAAGTTATACAGGTAATGGTGTAGTGGCATTAATACTGTGGTTTCATTAATACTCATTGAGCACCAATTTTTGAGGATTTCGTTGTCGAGGAGATCCCCGAAATTCAATGTTCATTGAATTATGAAATCTGTTATTCATTTGTATATAGGCAATGCTTTTGTCTACGAAATTACATATCCTTGAAAACCTTTGTTTTACAAAATCCACAAAAACTATTGCCAACGAAAATTGATGAAACCACAGTACTATACAGTAGACAAGTAATCAAGTTTCCGAGGTAATTGAAGTAGACTTCTAAAATAAAATAAAATCTTTGAAAGCTAAAATAGCTGGATGATCTTACTACATGACAGAAGCTTAATTTTGTTGGGCTTAAGTTTCAGCAACTAAATCATGAATTATGCAAATCCTTTTATAAGGTGGGTCAACAGAACCATGTTTAATAATTAATCATACATGTACACTGCCTAAGTTAATTACTTTATGATATTTGTAGGTGGACTGGCAAAGCAGTGTTGCCCATTTCCAGTCTGACTTTTATCAGCATTTTATGAAGTTCTTTCCTTACTCTGCCCACACCAGTGCCCCCAAAAGTAAAAAGACAACACAGGATACTGAACAGGTAACTGTTAAAATTTAAGGAGTTTATAAATTCAAAAGAAATTTTATTACTTAGTGTACACGAAAATTTTTGCTCCCATAAACAATATTATTTTTGCCTCCTTTACCTTACCCTCACTTTGGCAAATTTAAAATCAGGCAAATTCAAAGAATTCACAAAAGTATTCACAAAATTCACAAAAGTACTTTTTAACGAAAGTATGATTGGGCAGATTGAAAATTTAAAAAAAAAGTGTGAAAGGGCAAAATAGACAGGGCAAGAAAAAAAACCTTAGGGCCCCAATATAAAGTGTTAATTGTATACAGTTTACAGTTTTGGAGATTAATAATTATATATAGTTTTAATTTTAATTTCTTTTTACAAACAGCATACTGTGCACTCTCTAAACATCACAATCTGTGACATCATGTCCTACTTTCTGGCAACCAATCAAAACTCAGGACACAGAAGCCGCCTGCCTCACACAGTCACACAATACTTCCTTACATACTTAAGAGAGGAAGGTTATGATTCGTCAAATACCCCGCAGATCTTAGAAGTGATAGAGAGGTTACTTGAATGCTACCAGAATAATGGTATTTGTTTATCATATTTATATGTAAGATTTCCTATGATTTTCTGTTGGATATGATTTTAATCTATCCAGTTTTGTGTTTTTATCCCTTACTGTAGTCTAGAAGAGGACCAGAAAACACACATAGGAGTTGATAAAACATATCTATAAAGATAAACAAATGGGAGATTCTTTTTATCGTATGTTTAACAATGTTTTTACTTGTGAATCCATTTTATTTGACTTCATCACTTTTATGCAAGGACCATTAGCATTATAGCATCAGAACTGATGATAAAACCAGGGTTGTCCGTACGAATTGAAAAAGAAGGGGACATTTGGAAAGTAGAAGGGGAACTGGGCTCCTCTCCTAATTGGGAGTTTCGGAGGAATACCAAAATGATTACAACAGTATAGGTCGCAAAATTCCCCAGCCCCCGGGTCTGAGGAACAACCCTGTATGTGACAATGATATTTCCTCTGCATTAATGAATTAGTAAACATAATCAGAATGCAGTCAATAAGTTAATACTTTTAGGGAGGTATCTTTGATATCATTAATGCTTTAAAATGTGTAAATAAGGAAATTTTGATCTTTTAAGAGTTAATTCATAAAATAAAACGCATTTAATTATACTTTTGGAGTTAAAATATTATTCAGCGTTGGATACCCTCGGGTGATCTTTTTTTTTATTCATCACAATGTTGGATACCCATGGGTGATCTCGTCTATTACTCATCACCGTGGGTATGAGTAAAAGACGAGATCACCTGTGGGTACGATGAATATCAATAAGTTAATTCTTTTTTTTTCAAGAAAATGATCAGCAAAGTTAATAGATATAACTAATTTATTTTTTCTAGAGCACTTCCAACAGTTATTGTCAGTCCTGGTGACTCGTTTTACACAGGTCCACCCCCTCTCTAAGGAGAAAAAGTTACTGCTACGGTTCTTCTCCAGAATTGTTAGTCAAGAGGGAATGGTTTTAAGGTTTGTGTCTCACAACACTTGTCTTCCTAAACCAGTTACAGAAAAGTTTGTCTATCCTATTTTATTACATAAGTTAATATTTTTAAAAAACTCAATTATTATGTAGACAGTGGTGCCCTGAATGATCAGTGATTGGGAAGGGCTTGCGCCACGCGCCATAGTCGCATTGAAGTGAAAAATGGCGCATTAAATTAATCAATCATTGCGCCAAGGTGCGCATTCAATTTTTATCGATGTTTGGAAATATTTTGCGTATGACTTTCTTTCTTGTTTTACTTTCGTTTTTAAATGAAGTCAATTTAAAACAACAATTCTCATTGGTTGAACCTCGTCAAAAAGTACTTCCGGTTAAACGAAGCACTTACATTAGGCACAATACTTCATTCAATTGTACTGTAAGGCTGTTCCCTTTCCATAACTGTCGTAATTTTAACACAAAATACGGTTAGTTATATTCTAAGGAAGTTCCTTTAAATTTGCTGCATTGCATGTGTTAAAAGTCAGATTTGGTCAATTAAAAACGTGTTTTCTCTCGTATTTAATATTGTTTGTCACTTTGTTATTTTTTAAAATGGCCCTTCAGATTATATTGATGGCACATTTATTTTCGAAATGGCCCATCAAAAATGTTGACAGTTGCGCCATAGTCCCATTGACCATTTTGGCCTTCCCAATCACTGATGATTATTAGAAATTTTTAAAATAAAGTTCTTGGTGTAAATGATTAGTTGAAAAAAAACTATTTGTAGCAAACAGTATTTTTTTTTGCTATTGTCACGTATTGTGGTTGGAAAATAGTCAATTGCATCTATTGTGATCTAATATTCATGTATTTCCCTACTTTGTAGAGAGGACATCAGAGGGGTTTTCCTCAAGTCGTGTATTGAGAATTCCGTGATGTCAGAACAGATAATAGAGGTCCTGCGTGATCTGGTCATTAAAACCTCTGAGAGGGAGGGCGTGACTGATTTTGTCACATCTGTCTTAGGTATATACTGTAAAGTAACTTTTATTCGCATGCCAGAAATATTAGTGAGTTTCGCGACCTATTTTAAGCTACAAATATTAAGTGCTGTGAACCATTTATTTTGATTTGTTTTTGTAGAATATGTTTCTTTATTCGTGAAAATTAATTGTAGCGTATTGATTTCAAACCGACGAATTTCGAATAATAGTTGGTTTACAGTCGTAGATGTAATCAGGATACAGAAATATGTAGAATGGCATGCACTTGGGGAATATATTTTTAGTTGTTGAATAAAACTAAAATACCATTGGCAAGAAAAAATATCTTAATTTGAAAATTGATAAAAAGTAGTCTGATCAGTGTATATTTTCTATATTTTACATGTAATATATTCCATTCAAAGTATTCCTTTAGCTGCGTGATAATTAATAACACTGAATTGTACATGTAGATCATCAATGATCTAATGATCTAAGAGGATCATATTAGAGAATTTAGAGATGTACCAAAAATGAAAATCTATCATTAAAGACCTATATTTACTTTTGTCCACAGAAATGGATCTAGACAGTTTGATATCTATGGACAACAAGTGCATGCACAGCCTTATAGAACTAATTTATCGTGTGCCTCAACTCAGCAGGGAAAGTTACAGAAAACTGGGGGCCATGGTGCACGATGTACGCTTACCACTAGCTACCTGTCAGTATCTGCTACAAGTCATGCAGCACAGGTATGGTAACACTATCAAATACTGTAGATCACTAAATTTTCGCGACACCTTATTTTGGCGAGATAGGTGTTAATTCTTGATAAGGGAGACAGAATTTTCACAAAATGTGGTTATTGCTCATAATAAATAATAAATCATAGATTGCTCTATATAATCCTATGGAATACTATTGTAGCCAAGAATTAATTTTTCGCGAGCACACTGTCATGCGTAATTACGCGAAAATAAAGGTTTTTTTTAGCTCACCTGAGCCGAAGGCTCAAGTGAGCTTTTCTGATCATATTTTGTCCGTCGTCCATCCGTCTGTCCGTCTGTCTGTCTGTCCGTCTGTAAACTTTTCACATTTTCTACTTCTTCTCAAGAACCACTGGGCCAATTTTGACCAAACTTGGTACAAAGCATCCTTGGGTGAAGGGGAATTTAAATTGTTAAAATAGAGGGCCAAGTCCCCTCACAAGGGGAGATAATCAAGAAAAGACAAAAATAGGGTGGGGTCATTAAAAAATCTTCTAAAGAACCACTGGGTCAGAAAAGCTGAAACTTATGTGGAAGCAACCTGAGGTAGTGTAGATTCTAAATTGTTAAAATCATGACCCCCGGGGGAAGGGCGGGGCCACAATGGGGAATTAAATTTTTACATAGAAATATATAGGAAAAATCTTAGAAAATCTTCCTCTCAAGAACCACTGGGCCAGAAAAGCTGAAACTTATGTGGAAGCGTCCTGGTATAGTGTAGATTCTAAATTGTTAAAATCATGACCCCTGGGGGAAGGGCGGGGCCACAATGGGGAATAAAATTTTTACATAGAAATATATAGGAAAAATATTTGAAAATCTTCTTCTCAAGAACCACTGGGCCAGAAAAGCTGAAACTTATGTGGAAGCATTCTGGGGTAGTGTAAATTCTAAATTGTAAAAATCATGACCCCCGGGGGAAGGGCGGGGCACAATTGGGAATCAAAGTTTTACATAGAAATATATAGGAAAAATCTTAGAAAATCTTCTTCTCAAGAACCACTGGGCCAGAAAAGCTGAAACTTATGTGGAAGCATCCTGGTATAATGTAGATTCTAAATTGTTAAAATCATGACCCCCGGGGGAAGGGTGGGGCCACAATGGGGAATCAAAGTTTTACATAGAAATATATAGGAAAAATCTTAGAAAATCTTCTTCTCAAGAACCACTGGGCCAGAAAAGCTGAAACTTATGTGGAAGCATCCTGGGGGTAGTGTAGATTCTAAATTGTTAAAATCATGACCCCCGGGGGAAGGGCGGGGCCACAATTGGTAATCAAAGTTTTACATAGAAATTAGGGATGTCAACGAGTACCCGGTTAACCGGGTACTCGATTGAACGTCCGAGTATCGAATACTAAAATCGGTACTCGGTTACTCGGATGTATATTTTTGAATATTTCTAAGCCTATTTATTAATGCATTAAACAAACTGTTTTAAAACGTAAAATGCTCATTGCACTTGTACATACAGTAATTAGGGTTTACTACGATTCTAAATGACCGTTATTGCCTGTGGCAGTGTTTATACAGTAATTATCGTGACCAAGCACCTGGGGTACCTGACTTTTCTCACCTTCGGCTGCGTTCTACCCCTATGTTTTGTTTGCATGGCTTTAATTATTTGTTTTCACCGAGCATCGTTTAAGATCCATTATGTATAAATAAATTAGATAATTTTGTCAATTCTCCGAGAAGCCGTAAATTATCGAGAAAAGAGCGGATGATATTACAAGTGCGATTGTTGATATGGTTGTGTTTGATTACATGCCAATACAACTGGTTGAAGGCAAAGGCTTTTAAAAAATGATGTCCATCGTTGCACCAAACTACAAATACCGTCCCGTAATATTATAAAATCCAGGATCGAAAAAGTACACGAAAATCGTAAATCTGCTCTGTTAGGGTACATACTGTATGTAGCTCTGACGACTGATACCTGGTTGTCAAACGCGACAAAGAGTTATATTACAATTATGGAGCAAATTATTTTTTTTAAACAAAAACACTGTGAATAACTTATGATTTTATTTCTTGTGCTTATCTGATAAATAAATTGAATTTTAAAAAATGTATTAAATTTCGTCGGGCACGAATTTTAAGTGCTCATCATTATCACAATAGAAAGAGATTTACGGATAAGCCTCCTATCAGTGCATCTGGTTTTATTTCTACAAGAGTTTACAGTGTTTTACAATCTCCAATTTACTTGTTCATATTTATTTACACTATTACCGAGTACCCGGGTACTCGATCAGAAAAACGTCCGAGTAACCGAGTATTGAAAATTGACCGATTTGACATCCCTAATAGAAATATATAGTCTTATAAAATCTTTGAAAATCTTCTTTTCAAGAACCACTGGGCCAGAAAAGCTGAACATTATGTGCACATGGAAGGATTCCTGGGTAGTGTAGATTTCAAAATGTATAAATTATGATCAGTGTGGTAGGGTGGGGATGCATTATTTTTTACAAGGGGGAAATCTGGTAAAGAACAGAATGGTCAAAGCTTCTCAGGTGAGCGATGTGGCCCATGGGCCTCTTGTTTGTAATAAAAAGTGATTAACAGTACTGTTGCCACTGTGCCAAACTCACCATAAAATCACCTTGGAGTTTTTATACCCCCCCCCCCCATCTGAAGGAGAGGGGGGTATACTGTTTTACCCTTGTGTGTCTGTCCAGCTGTCCGTCCGTCTGTCTGTGTGTCCGTGTTTCCGTTTGTAACAAATTTTCGTCGCAGTTTTCTCAGCAACTACTCATCGTAGATGCTTGAAATTTTAACACAATCTTCTCTGAGGCATGCCATATGATGGGATACATTTTCGCTCAAATCCGATGTCAACTTCCTGTTTGTCTGCGCGTCTGTCCGTTTCATACATAACAAATTTTCCTCGCTGTTTTCTCAGCAACTACTCATCGTAGATGCTTGAAATTTTAACACAATCTTCTCTAAGGTATGCCATATTTTGGGATACATTTTTGTTCAAATCGGATATCAACTTCCTGTTTGTCTATGCATCTGTCCGTTTCATACATAACAAATCTCCGTCGCAGTTTTCTCATTAGCTATTCATAGCAGATGCTTGAAATTTTATTACACTCTTTGTTGAGGCATGCCATATGGTGGGATTAATTTTGATACCGTATGAATCTGATGTCAACTTCATATTTTTCTGTGCATCTGCCTGTAATTGAACTTGTTTATATTAACATGATAGTGCTTAATTACATCAGAGCGGGGGTATTACTAGTGAGCATTGGCTCACAGATTTCTTGTTTTAAAAGTTAAAATTTCTTCCAATAATGGGGTTACATCCTCTTCTGAGAATGAGTGAAAATTTAATAGCATTTCTAATTTTAATAACTTGAAGAAAAAAAAATAAATTAAAATTAAAATCTTGTCTGTCAGGTACAAGTATTACATTTTGCCGATAGAGGAACAAGGATTCTACATGCAGTTTCTTCTGAAGTCAGCATTTGGTAAGTAGTTATTTCCATATAATAAGCAGGGCACTTAGAAAGAATGAAGTGAAAGAGAATTCTGAAATCTTTATTCTAAATGTACATCTGTCTGTAATGATCAGAACATCATGTACATAAAAATAACATATTAATCTTGGCATTTTGCTTAGCCATAACCATTTTGCTTAACCATAAAACATGCTATACGTGATATGACAGCCCATCTCTGTGTTGATATGACTGCCCATCTTTGTGTTAGTATGACTGCCCATCTCCCTGTTGATATGACTGCCCATCTCTCTGTTGTTATGACTGCCCATCTACCTGTTGATATAACTGCCCATCTCCCTGTTGATATAACTGCCCATTTCTCTGTTGAGATGACTGCCCATCTCCCTGTTGATATAACTGCCCATCACTGTGTTGATATAACTGCCCATCTCTCTGTTGATATAACTGCCCATCTCCCTGTTGATATAACTGCCCGTTTCTCTGTTGAGATGACTGCCCATCTCCCTGTTGATATAACTGCCCATCTCTCTGTTGATATAACTACCCATCTCTGTTGATATGACTGCCCATCTCCCTGTTGATATGACTACCCATCTCCCTGTTGATGTGACTGCCCATCTCCCTGTTGATATAACTGCACATCAATCTGTTGATATGGCTGCCCATCTCTCTGTTGACATGACTGTCCATCTCTCTGTTGATATGACTGCCCATCTTTGTGTTAGTATGACAGCCCATCTCTCTGTTGTTATGACTGCCCATCTCTCTGTTGATATGACTGCCCATCTCTCTGTTGATATGACTGCCCGTCTCCCTGTTGATATGACTGCCCATCTCTCTGTTGATATGACTGCCCATCTCTCTGTTGATATGACTGCCCATCTCCCTGTTGATATAACTGCACATCAATCTGTTGATATGGCTGCCCATCTCTCTGTTGACATGACTGTCCATCTCTCTGTTGATATGACTGCCCATCTTTGTGTTAGTATGACTGCCCATCTCCCTGTTGATATGACTGCCCATCTCCCTGTTGATATGACTGCCCATCTCTCTGTTGATATGACTGCCCATCTCCCTGTTGATATGACTGCCCATCTCTCTGTTGACATGACTGCCCATCTCTCTGTTGATATGACTGCCCATCTCCCTGTTGTTATGACTGCCCATCTCCCTGTTGATATGACTGCCCATCTCTCTGTTGACATGACTGCCCATCTCCCTGTTGATATGACTGCCCATCTCTCTGTTGACATGACTGCCCATGTCTCTGTTGATACAACTGTCCATCTCTCTGTTGATATGACTGCCCGTTTCTCTGTTGATATGACTGCCCATCACTGTGTTGATATGACTGCCCATCTCTGTGTTGATATGACTGCCCATCTCCCTGTTGATATGACTGCCCATCTCTCTGTTGATATGACTGCCCATCTCCCTGTTGTTATGACTGCCCATCTCCCTGTTGATATGACTGCCCATCTCTCTGTTGTTATGACTGCCCATCTCCCTGTTGATATAACTGCCCGTTTCTCTGTTGATATGACTGCCCATCTCTCTGTTGATATGACTGCCCATCTCCCTGTTGATATGACTGCCCATCTCTCTGTTGATATGACTGCCCATCTCTCTGTTGATATGACTGCCCATCTCTCTGTTGATCTGACTGCCCATCTCTCTGTTGATATGACTGACCATCTCTCTGTTGATATGACTGCCCATCTCCCTGTTGATATGACTGCCCATCTCTCTGTTGATATAACTGCCCATCTCCCTGTTGATATAACTGCCCGTTTCTCTGTTGATATGACTGCCCATCTCTCTGTTGATATGACTGCCCATCTCTCTGTTGATATAACTTCCCATCTCTCTGTTGATATGACTGCCCATCTCCCTGTTGATATGACTGCCCATCTCTCTGTTGATATAAGTGTCCATCTCCCTGTTGATATAACTGCCCATCTCCCTGTTGATATGACTGCCCATCTCTCTGTTGATATGACTGCCCATCTCCCTGTTGATATGACTGCCCATCTCTCTGTTGATATGACTGCCCATCTCTGTGTTGATATGACTGCCCATCTCCCTGTTGATATGACAGCCCATCTCTCTGTTGATATGACTGCCCATCTCTCTGTTGTTATGACTGCCCATCTCCCTGTTGATATGACTGCCCATCTCTCTGTTGATATGACTGCCCATCTCCCTGTTGATGTGACTGCCCATCTCTGTGTTGATATGACTGCCCATCTCTCTGTTGATATGACTGCCCATCTCCCTGTTGATGTGACTGCCCATCTCTGTGTTGATATGACTGCCCATCTCTCTGTTGATATGACTGCCCATCTCTCTGTTGATATGACTGCCCATCTCTCTGTTGATATGACTGCCCATCTCTCTGTTGATATGACTGCCCATCTCTCTGTTGATATGACTGCCCATCTCCCTGTTGATATGACTGCCCATCTCTCTGTTGATATGACTGCCCATCTCTCTGTTGATATGACTGCCCATCTCTCTGTTGATGTGATCTCTCTGCTGCCCATCTCTCTGTTGATATAACTGTCAATCTCTCTGTTGATATGACTGCCCATCTCTCTGTTGATATGACTGCCCATCTGTCTGTTGATATTACTGCCCATCTCTGTTGATATGACTGCCCATCTCTCTGTTGATATGACTGCCCATCTCTCTGTTGATATGACTGCCTATCTCCCTGTTGATATGACTGCCCATCTCTCTGTTGATATAACTGCCCATCTCTCTGTTGATATAACTGCCCATCACTGTGTTGATATAACTGCCCATCTCTCTGTTGATATAACTGCCCATTTCCCTGTTGATATAACTGCCCCTTTCTCTGTTGATATGACTGCCCATCTCCCTGTTGATATGACTACCCATCTCCCTGTTGATGTGACTGCCCATCTCCATGTTGATATAACTGCACATCAATCTGTTGATATGGCTGCCCATCTCTCTGTTGACATGACTGTCCATCTCTCTGTTGATATGACTGCCCATCTTTGTGTTAGTATGACTGCCCATCTCCCTGTTGATATGACTGCCCATCTCCCTGTTGATATGACTGCCCATCTCTCTGTTGATATGACTGTCCATCTCTTTGTTGATATGACTGTCCATCTCTCTGTTGATATGACTGCCCATCTCCCTGTTGATATGACTGCCCATCTCTCTGTTGATATGACTGTCCATCTCTTTGTTGATATGACTGCCCATCTCTCTGTTGATATGACTGCCCATCTCTCTGTTGATATGACTGCCCATCTTTGTGTTAGTATGACATCCCATCTCTCTCTGTTGATATGACTGCCCATCTCCCTGTTGACATGACTGTCCATCTCTCTGTTGATATGACTGCCCGTCTCTCTGTTGATATGACTGCCCATCTCCCTGTTGATGTGACTGCCCATCTCTGTGTTGATATGACTGCCCATCTCTCTGTTGATATGACTGCCCATCTCCCTGTTGATGTGACTGCCCATCTCTGTGTTGATATGACTGCCCATCTCTGTGTTGATATGACTGCCCATCTCTCTGTTGATATGACTGCCCATCTCTCTGTTGATATGACTGCCCATCTCTCTGTTGATATGACTGCCCATCTCTCTGTTGTTATGACTGCCCATCTCTCTGTTGATATGACTGCCCATCTCTCTGTTGATATGACTGCCCATCTCTCTGTTGATATGACTGCCCATCTCTCTGTTGATTTGACTGCCCATCTCTCTGTTGATGTGACTGCCCGTCTCTCTGTTGATATGACTGCCCATCTCTCTGTTGATATGACTGCCCATCTCTCTGTTGATATGACTGCCCATCTCTCTGTTGATATGACTGCCCATCTCCCTGTTGATATGACAGCCCATCTCTCTGTTTAGATGACTGCCCATCTCTCTGTTGATGTGACTGCCCATCTCTCTGTTGATATGACTGCCCATCTCTCTGTTGATGTGACTACCCATCTCTCTGTTGAGATGACTGCCCATCTCCCTGTTGATATGACTGCCCATCTCCCTGTTGATATAACTGCCCATCTCTCTGTTGATATAACTACCCATCTCTGTTGATATGACTGCCCATCTCCCTGTTGATATGACTACCCATCTCCCTGTTGATGTGACTGCCCATCTCCATGTTGATATAACTGCACATCAATCTGTTGATATGGCTGCCCATCTCTCTGTTGACATGACTGTCCATCTCTCTGTTGATATGACTGCCCATCTTTGTGTTAGTATGACTGCCCATCTCCCTGTTGATATGACTGCCCATCTCCCTGTTGATATGACTGCCCATCTCTCTGTTGATATGACTGTCCATCTCTTTGTTGATATGACTGTCCATCTCTCTGTTGATATGACTGCCCATCTCCCTGTTGATATGACTGCCCATCTCTCTGTTGATATGACTGTCCATCTCTTTGTTGATATGACTGCCCATCTCTCTGTTGATATGACTGCCCATCTCTCTGTTGATATGACTGCCCATCTTTGTGTTAGTATGACATCCCATCTCTCTCTGTTGATATGACTGCCCATCTCCCTGTTGACATGACTGTCCATCTCTCTGTTGATATGACTGCCCATCTCTCTGTTGATATGACTGCCCATCTCTCTGTTGATATGACTGCCCATCTCTCTGTTGATATGACTGCCCGTCTCTCTGTTGATATGACTGCCCATCTCTCTGTTGATATGACTGCCCATCTCCCTGTTGATGTGACTGCCCATCTCTGTGTTGATATGACTGCCCATCTCTGTGTTGATGTGACTGCCCATCTCTGTGTTGATATGACTGTCCATCTCTCTGTTGATATGACTGCCCATCTTTGTGTTAGTATGACAGCCCATCTCTCTGTTGATGTGACTGCCCATCTCTCTGTTGATATGACTGCCCATCTCTCTGTTGATGTGACTGCCCATCTCTGTGTTGATATGACTGTCCATCTCTGTGTTGTTATGACTGCCCATCTCCCTGTTGATATGACTGTCCATCTCTCTGTTGTTATGACTGCCCATCTCCCTGTTGATATGACTGCCCATCTCTCTGTTGATATGACTGCCCATCTCTCTGTTGATATGACTGCCCATCTCTCTGTTGTTATGACTGCCCATCTCCCTGTTGATATGACTGCCCATCTCCCTGTTGATATGACTGTCCATCTCTCTGTTGATATGACTGCCCATCTCTCTGTTGATATGACTGCCCATCTCTCTGTTGATATGACTGCCCATCTCTCTGTTGATATGACTGTCCGTTTCCCTGTAGATAAAACTGTCTACTCAATCATTAGGTTTTCGATTTTTTTTTTTAGAAAAGAAGTGTTAAGTTAAAGAGAGTATTGGTCAGAATTATTTGAACTAAATGTGTTATTTATTTATAAGATCCTGTGAATTTCCCCTCAAATCAAACCGAGCTGGACAGAGATCATTTCAGGCGACTACTCTCTCTCATTGAGGTGTGTATTATTGAAATTACCATTAATTCCTTATTTTATGAGAGTACTTTATTTCAGAAAATAAATGGTAGTCATAATTACATGAAATGATTTATAGATGTCAATTCCTTTTTCAAAATGAACTTTTTGTTCAAAAAAGTCAGCCATTTACAATGCATTTAAGAATGTAAATTAATACATTGTATAAGACACGAAATTATTTAATGATACATGAAAGTTGAGTATGATGTTTTTGTCTTCTCCAGACTGTCTCAGATCAGCTGCTGATGTTTGAGAACTCTGAACAAGTTGTGGATGTCCTGTGTTGTTACTTGAGTAAAACAATGGTATTAAAATTATAATTTGTCTGGGTAGAAACACTCGTAAACTTGTATTTGTACATTTGCAAATATTCATCATTCTCTACACCTTTCGTATTTGAGAGCTGTATTTTCTTTGAATTCTGCAGATAACAAGTAATGCAGTGGAAGAGCCAATTTACCCAATTGTAACCTTTGCCACAATGGGATCAAAGTTGAAGATTTGGAATTACCCAATCAGCAGACAAGTTACAAATGAGTTCTTAGATTTGTTATGGAGCTACTCATTAGCTGTAACTCAGCTTGATAAAGGTTCCACAGTTAACAGTCTTATTTTTGATGAAGTAGTGGAGAGATGTGGACATTTTATATCAGGAGGAGAACCAGTTTTTTGTCAGTTTTTAAAGAAGATGCTCATAGCACTGAAAGGTAATAAATGTATGTATGCACAAACATTAAATGTCCTATAAAAGCATTGCACTTTTCTTTGAAATGTCCCCCACTTTCTGTAAACAGGTATAGCTGCAGAACTGTAGCTCTCTGCTTGAGAAAAGTCAAAAAGAAAGCTGGGAGCTACTGGACTAAGGGTGTAATTTAAAATACCTTTGATTTACTCTGCAGCTTTTTTGTCACTTGCTTCGAGAATTGTTTCTTGTATTTTATGCTTTTCACCTGAATGGTATGCAATAATTAACCTTATGATTTACTCCTATTTCTGATACTATATTTATTTTTCAATGGTCCCAAAGATGCAAAGGAAACAATAAGTGTTTTATCAGTCATTCCCCTATGCAGCAGAGAAAATCCTAAAAGCAGCAGTGAAATGTTTTCTAATGATGCTATTTTCGCATTTAAAGTTTGGCTCTCAGTACTTTGATTAATCATGCTATTTTTAGCATTTGGATTCCATTTTGTTTCTATATTTAGACTGCAGCAGTGTTGAGGAAGTGAACGCAGTTCAGCATGCAGCCATTTTAATTCTTCAACAGGATCAGCCATGGCCTACTTTGTCAGAAAATCTAGAATGTCAGGCAATATTTGATACTTTAGAGGTAAAATTCTAAAGATTTAGGAGAAATCATAAAATTGGGAAGGAAGAAATGTACTTGACTGTCTCTTTTATGTGTATGGTTTTTAATTGTCATCTTTTACATTAATCATGTTTATATGATTTATGATTTTAAATTTTCAGAAGATTGAAGGTCTTGCCTTACAGCACAGATGGAAGAAACTAAAGAATATGTTAACAAAATTTAATAAAAATTGAAAATTTACTGCCATTTGATCATTTTATTCTTATTATTTCAAAACCTGTATACATAACATAGTTCCTCTTTTAGACAGTTTAGACAAATTTTTATGCCCCTGTTATTGCAGATCTGGGCGTATGTAGTTTTTGCCCTGCCTGTCTGACTGTTAATCTGTTTGCGAATACTTTAACCTTGCCCATAACTTTTTACTGGGTTGAGCTACTGTATGGCTTTCATATTTGATGTGTATATTCCTTGTGACGACCTTTTTTGGAATCCACAAACCCACTTTGTAAAAAAACAAAACAAAAACTCAATCGTCATAATTTTGAACAGTTAGTACTGGGACTTTCATATTTCAAAGGCATATTCCTTGTGCTATTTCAAAGAGCTTTCCTCTTGATGACCTTTACATGTACCTCTTGTTTGACTTGTTTTAATTAAATTTTCTGTGCATTTTAAGCTCAAATGAGCGGAAAGCTCAAGTGATATTTTCTGTTCACCTATCATCTCATGCCCGTTTGTAAACTTTTTACATTTTAAGCTTTCCAAGAACCACTTTGCCAATTATTCTAAACACTGGATGGTGGTGGGCACAATACAATTTAAATCTTTTTATTTTTTAACAACAGCTAGGACCAGGAAATCTGAAACTTACATGATAGAAACCTTCTAAGGAAGAGAAGATGCGTTGTTTGTTTTTTGTTTAACGTCTCTCTTGAAAATGTTTCACTTATATGGAGACGCCACCACTAGCCGTAGCTGCAGAACTGTAGCTCTCCGAAAAAATATATTGACAGACCGGTCTGTCAATGTATTTTTTTTTCCAGAGAGCTACAGTTCTGCAGCTAGGTGGAGAGCTGCAAATTTTGTCCGATAATACTTGGCACTTAAAGGCAGAGATTTTTTACCGGGTGGTATGTTCTAACAACTAACGAGGTTCTCACTATAAAATCCTACAACTGTCAATGTTTATACATGGGAAGAAGAAAATAACCTATTGATATAAGAATTAAATACAAGTTTTGCGTGGACACTTTATGTATTTCTAGTAAACTATATAAATCAGATTATATTATATTTTTTACCATCAATTAATTTTTTTTTATAGACATTACATGTATACATGTAATTCCTATTAAGTACAAATATTTCTGCAAAAGAACTTGAACTCAATTCCTTTTCTTTTCATTCTGAGTATATATAATCTCTTTATCGAAAAGATTTAATTAAGTAATGATCCAAATACATTTAGTGTGTTGTCAAAAAAATCTCTCTGTAAATGGATGATTTAATTTGTTCTCTCACTTTTTCCCAAGAAAATCGTTTTTTTATAATTCTCTTTACATAAAACTTGATCCTAAGTTTTCCGTTTAAAAATGATATTGATATAAATGTACCGGTATGTATTTTAAAATAATTAATATGTGGAACCTGATTAATTAATAATTATGTTATACATTAAGTATTTATGATATGTATTTTGATATTGAACTTAAACACCACAGGTAATAAGTACAGGTAATAAAACAGACTATACACAGGTGACCACTCAGGTGTGAATATCCCAATTTTGGCTAGATGGGAATAAAAAATTCAGAATTTTGGCTAAGTGGGAATAAACCATTCCAGGTGAGGGAGAGGCTTATTTTGTACAGGTGTGAATGCTTTGGGGGCTAGCTGTCTACCTGTGGTCATCTGTCTCCTAATCCCTATACACAGGAAGTGATTTAATACACAGTGAAATACCCCAGGTGACAATCTTTACCTATGTGGATTTTGAGACAATTTTAGAATTAGTACATGTAGTAAACAGGTTTTATTGATCCTACCTTCCACTTTCATACATTGATTTATTTTTTAATTATTAAATTCAAATATTAAAACAAAGATTGTTTTAGATGTTAGTGTATGTTTTAATTTAAAAAAAAAACAACTCCTGTAACAACCAAATTAATCTAATATATTCATTCCCAGGATCTCATCTATTAGTTAAATGAAAAGAGAGCCGTGTTAACTATATTTCACTAAAAGAAATATTTAGGTTCATCCTAACCTTAACAGACTTTGTCTCCATGAAACATGCTAAAAAAAAATTGCTTGTAAATTCTTATCTGAATTAAAAAAAGAAAATATAAGTGACCCATTATTAAAAATATTATTTTTAAATTCAATTACCTCACACGGTGCTGCTCTGAACTTACATGTAATTTATCAATAAAATTTCCACTTTAGGTTTACCAATTAGCATATTAAAATTAATATCGAAATTTCATTAGAAAACGAAAGTTTAATTACCAAAGGTTTATTTTTTTTTAAAAAAAGCATATTATATTATAATCCTTTTAAATACTAAAGGTATGTTTAATTCATATATCATCAATCTTAAATTTTCATAGTAATACAGTTTCTGTATACCATGTTCAGTAAACATCAAGGGATCATAAGTTAATTAGAAGGTCACCACGAGTGCCAAACGAGGTGTACAGGGTATACACAGGGACCATTAAGTAACTGTCAATCAAGTTTCAGCATCCAATGATGGACCTTCACGCACTTGATTGACAGGGCTACTTAGACCAGGTATTTTTGAAGGGATTTTGTAGGGATTAGGAGACAGATGGCCACAGGTAGACAGCTAGCCCCCAAAGCATTCACACCTGTACAAAATAAGCCCCTCCCTCACCTGGAATTTACCACCCGGTAAAAAAATCTCTGCCTTTAAAATCTCTGCTTTTAAAGATATCCGATCCTCAGCTAGGAAGGATAACTCCAAAAATTAATATTTAATATGAAATACATCAAAATAAAGCTTGAAAATGAAATTTTTTCATGCAACAAATTTCATTTTATTCATTTTTCTCTTCATCTTTTATAAGATTCAAGGCTTTTGGAAGTCTTAGAAAAAGGTCTTATAAAAGTTGACATTTGTACCCTATAAAAGGAAAAAAAAATACATACAGTTTTAGAGAAAAAAGATTTTCTTGAATCCAGCCTTAGATATCAATGCTTATTAACATGATGTGAAATAAGAAGTGATTTATGGTGTCTTGCAATGATAGCAAAAGCCGTTTACACTATGTATTATAGAAGACAAAAAATACCAAATAAGTATAAAAATCATGACAATTTCTCTGAATGCCTGCACTGTAAGAAATGTGTTTAGAATTCAAACACTTTTCTAAACACTTTTTTGTCACCTTCTTTTTTATACGTTTAATTTCTAAACATGTTTAGTTTCTAAACACGTATGAAAAAGTGTTTAGAATCTAAGCACACAAGTGTTTAGATTCTAAACACTTTCTCGTACATGTTTAGAAATTTTACATGTTTAGGAATTAAACGTATAAAAAAGAAGGTGACAAAAAAGTGCTTAGAAAAGTGTTTGAATTTTAAACACATTTCTTAATTATGTGCTTAGAAATTAAACATATCCAGATTTAACATATTAAAACAAGTGTAGCTGCAGAAAAACTACATGTATAAACACTTGTAAATTTTGGCACAAAGAGCATAAGGCCTCTGATTGTTTAAATATGTAGATACATGTACTTTACAATTGTGTGATGATCTTTTTACACAAATTTAATACTAGTATTTTAATCTCGATAAGTTCTATCAACATGAAATACATTATATTTATAACGCAGGGATGAGCAACAAAAATAAAATCAGCTAGCATTTTTATATCAGAATTTCCTTTAATCTTTTTAAAAATGCATTATTACAGATATTTTAATTAAAATTATAAAATATCTATTTTATATAATATTTTGCATATGATTAATCACAGTGTCAATCGGTTGCAGAGTGTTCCATATGTCAGTCATCAAAATGTCAAACTTGATTCACTTCAGCATTCCTAAAGCACCACATAGCATCACATGATATAATATCCCATCACTAACTGCCGAAAAATAATCCATTTCAAATGCACAAGGATACTCACAAAATGCTTATTTTAGGTACATGTACTGTACATGTATTCAAATCCACCGAACATTGTCGAATTAAGGGTAACTCAATACACTTCTTAAAAATACGTTTCTTAGTGTTGATCACGGAACAACAATTTGCACTTGAAGATGACGCCATGCACAGATGCGGGTACTTTGATACATACATGCTTTGAGTTCAATCCGGACTATTCACATAACCTGTAGGAATGAAAGTCAGATTTAAGTAAAAGTACCGTATGCTGCCCATTGACATCGATTTTTCAAGTTACATTGGAACTATACTTAAATCAAAAGTTATTTTTAATGAAATTCAATATAACCTCCTCTCCTACAAGTCTATAAACGACCCCCAAGTCATTGTTTACATTGCTCATCGTGGTTTAATAATGCAAATCTTAATAAAAAGAAAACATACCTTTAGTATATTGCAGCGAAAAGATGCCTTTCAATTGATTTTCAATATTTCTTCATGGTTATCCGTTGGGTTGTCAGTATCTCTCCTTGATATATCCCTAAAGCCTTTTGTGATTTACTTTGTTTCGATGGCCGCTCAAATTAACGTTCAAATATACGAATATTTGTGTCATTTCCGGGAAGATAACTCTGCATTTTACAGCAGAACGTGTTTAATTTCTAAACACGTTTAGATATAAAACATGTTTAGACATATGTGTTTAGTTGTTAAACATATTTCTATACATATTTAGATCTAAACACGTCATAGAAATGTTTAAATCCTAAACACAATTTTTACAGTGTGGATACCTAAAAATATATTTATTGATCAATAATTTGCAATTAGAAAATACATTGCTGATATCCCAATTCGCTTTTTCTGCAAAAATATTAGAGATTTGACGATTTCCCCTGTATTATATGATTAACTTTAATCTTTAACTTTAAAGAAATACTGTGGGTAACTTTTGTGTTTTCAGAGATACTTTTATGAGTATTTTCGATTATTTAATAATTCTAATTTTATAAAACCTGAGGATCGGACTACTTTAATACGGCCATTGAGCAGTGGCACAGAGGTTAGAACGTCTGCTGTAGAGCCAGTTGCGAAGTAAGGAGTTGATCCAATCATGGTTCGAATCCCACTGTCGGACGTGGAGATCGGTCCTTCGGATAAGACCGTAAAATAACCGAGGTCCTGTGTCGCAGTAAGTCCTGGCATGAAAAAGATCCCTTGATCACTGCTCAATGGCCGTATTATGTGCCGAGTATTATCGTACAAAATTTGCAGCTCTCCACCTAGCTGCAGAACCGTGGCTCTCCGAAAAAAAAAAAACAACATTTTTTTAATCTTCAAACACTACACTATTCTTATTTGACTACGTTGCAAAAAAAAGTGGGGGTCCAACCGGGCTTTTGAACAATGAACATTTTCTATAGTAAAAAGTTAGTGTGCAAAAAAGTGGGAGGGGGGGGGGGGGGGCTGGTACTACGTACGTGTCTGTTGATCACGAAATTTTCGTTACTTTTTTTCAGATCGATATTTATTAATCCTTTATAAGTGATGTTTTTTTTTCATGAATTGTCCTTAATTATAGCTTTTTATTATTAGTATTAGTATTTTTAAAATAAATGATAGTTCATAATACACATGTAATAATCCTTAATAAACTAATGTATGGGAGAGAGAAAAATTTCCCGAGCAGATTGTCTTGCGTAATTACGCGAAAATTAAGTTCCCGCAAATACTAATATCTACTAATATCTACCTCAAAAGTCCCCTGCTATGAAGTGGAAAAATACAAGCCAGGAGCAGAGCTAACAAGGACCACTTATATACAACGTCAATCAGGGATCAGGTGCCATATGAAGGAGTTATCATCCCCTTTCGTCCTGTTACAAACACCATGTACATATTTTTCAGGAGAGGACTTAACGTTAATTGTAACAAATATCTGTTTCGGATAATTTTTGACTGGAAAAAAATTGCCAAACACCTGAAAATCCTATTTTGGCAAACCTCTCTAAATGAGGGACTTGGAAATATACCCTGGCGTTATGTTTAAATACCTGGGTATTTTCAAATGCATATTTTCTTTGATGAAACCAAGAAGCATCAATGAATTTGTGTACAAATGGAATGGAATGGAAGATGATGGTAGATTTTGGGATGAAAGTGTGCGACGATGGATCCCAAGTAAATTGGCAATTTAAGGACAGATGATACAAACAAATTTTTGTCAAAAAAATTGAAAATAACAACTTGAGTCGTGTTTTAATGAGTAAAATGAAGTAGTTTAAGCGCGTAGTTTTTGAATTTTTATTCAAATTCCCCAAAAATGGGATTTGAAGAGAAAAATATTTGTATAGATTAATAAGGATGGTTTCAGAGAGGTAGAATTTTGAACATCGTAGAAGGTTTACAATTTCTTTAAATTCTAGAAAAAAATTTTTCACATCATTTTCAATGAAATAAGACCAGAAAATATATACCAATCCCATCGTCTCAAGCCACGGTCCGGAGTCCGCATATAGCTCTCTCTACTAGAATGGGAGAGGATCGTACATTTTGGCCGTGGTTTGCGACGATGCGCCAGGTCCCGCGAAAAAAAAAACCTGGATCCGCGCATGTTCGTATAATTTTTTTTTCTCTCCATGATCTTAATAAAAAGTAAATTGTAACAACTGTAAAATGCATTAAGAACTTATATCATTAATTATCAAGGACAAGAAAATGCGTTTGACTGTTATTTTTAGAATATTGTATCAATATCGAACCATTTCAAGATTGAGTTAACTTCAACGTTTACTTTCGTTTTCTTGCATTTTCAGTTTTCTTTCAAGAAATGAGAATCATCAATACTAATTATACTTGCTTGATATTATGAATACTCGAAAGAGCAGACAATTAATTATAGCTTTAATAGCTTACAGGTAAAAAGTTTAACCATAGCTCCAGATTTTTTTTTAGTGCATCGTCTTTCTTTCCATTGAAATCTAAATTAATGTCTTCAGCCAGTTCGGGCTCACTCATGTCACCCTTCATCTGTTCATAGCCACTGTAGAAATTTCCAAATAAGTATATACATGTCGTTATTGTAATTTCTATACTGGGGCACCGTTCTTGTCGAAGAAGAAAAGTGTGCCGAGGAATCTGTGCGCAGTTACAGAACCCAGTCTGAATTTTTGCTAAGACTTAATTGCCAACTCACACTGTGTTTTAAGACGATGCCAGGTGGATGGATTTTGGTATTATGTGTTTATCAGTTTATCTAAATACTCAGAAAAATAATTAAAATTGACATTTTTTATTCTATGCAGGGGGGGGGGCAACTTTAAATGAGATATTTTTCAATGTAACCAGGGAAAATACATAAAGTACCTAAAAATCAAACCATCTGGCATCTCACGATTTACAGAGATAAATAGATATTGGGAGAAAGTTTAATTTGGAGAAAGCTGTTATAAAATATAATTTTATTTTCAGAGGTTTTGAAGACAATGAGATCAGGTGAGCATTGTGCCCCTTGAGCCTCTTGTTAACATATTTTGGAAAAGTACAACCACTAGACCATACTTGCAGGACTTGACATGGCAAGCAATCAGGGACTAAATGGTTAGTTTGTCAAGAGAAAATGTTGCTTTACAGTTAAAAATCATTTCTGTATGTGCTGTAGTTCCTTTTAAACTTTTTTAATCTCTCAAAGCATAAGAGAATTTGAGTGTTTTTATTTTTAACCAAAAAACATGAAATACATAAAATGGATCTTTGCTTCGTAAATATATATACTAGTATTAATTTCAACATCTTGGCGAAATATTAGACATAAGTGTGTTTCACAAAAATTTAGTTTTTCTCTCTGTTTTTACTAGTCAACAGAGAAAATGCTGAAAGAACTGAAGTAGAGCTCATGAAATTTTTGGAAGACCACATTCATGCTGGGACAAATAATTTACAGAAAACAAAATTATACTTAAAACAACATATACCATCCAATGTGAGTTCAATCACTGAGATTTTTGATATTCTTAAGTCAAAAGGACTAATATCTCTTGGAAACTATAAATTTCTTAGTGATGTAATCCAGAAAATTGATGTAAGAGCTTCTCAGGAGATTAAGAATTTTGAGAGGAGGATCCAAGCAGAGATGGGAGGTGGAACTGCTGGACCTAGACATATATCTGCAAATAGTGCTGCTGCAAGATGTACAACTGATGAATATAGTAATTATTCTATTTTTAGCTCACCAAACACTCAAGAAAACGAAAGTGATCAAAATTTTCTGTTATACATTTTCTCAGTTTCCTCATCCACTCCAGAACCATGCTCATAGAGCCAATTTCCAGTAAATCATGTCCTAAAGCTTCATTTGTATAAGGGAGTTCAATTTTGTTCATTAGGAGAGCTACACCCTCTTTCAAGGGGAGATAAGTAAGAATTATATTAAAACATTCTTTTAAAGACTGGGGTGAAGGGATGGTGTTATGGAGAAGGGTACACAATAGATTTTCAAAGTTTTATTGAAATACATAGGGGATCCTCTTCTCAGCAAAGTCTTTATTAGTCAACATACTCAGAGATGATTCAAATTTTTTCAAATCAAAACCTCAGGAGCTTGAGGTAGGGCAGAACGCCACAGTTGACAATCCAAGTTGCATAGGCAGATCCAGGGATCTTGAACAAGGGGGTCTGACCAGTTGGGGGGGGGGGGGGGCTGGGATGTGGGTGGTATGTATGTTTTGGACAAAAAAGGGGGAGAGGGCTGAGGGGTGGGGTTGCGCCCCCTCTAAATCTGCCAGTGAGTTTTAGGTATTAGAAATACATAAAAAAAAATCAAAAATCTTTTCAACAGCAGCAGCCTTCAAGTTGTAAATTTAAGTGTGTATAAATTGTGATATATTGAATAGGATAATACAATAAGTGATCAAATTTTTACTATGGAATTTATATTATCAGAAAAATACCGTAGAACTCATATCAAGAACAGCAAAGGCATGATAGGTCATTTTGGATGAAAGCAACCCAACCGTCCACTCACACACGCTTTCCTTTCTGGAATAATTTGGCATGGGCCACAATAATGATGAAAGTTTTACATAGAAGTGTTTATAGGAAAAATCTCTTGATGTAGAACAGGAAGGTTATACATGTAATAAGTCAGGTGAGCATTGTGGTTCATGGACCTCTTCTTGCTATCTTTTACATTGAGGAAAAATGGCCATCTTCTCATTAAAAACTAAATTCTTCTATAAATAGTAATTTTTTTTTCTTTATTTGAACTTGAAAATAAAAAAAATTAGCTATACATGTGTTGGTTAATTTACATATATATTTTGGGCTGTAAAGCTTTTACAAGGTTTTTGTTTGAACTTGTAATGACATAACTGTATTACATTATTACATACTTATGCTATCTGAAACTGTTAATGAGAATATTTATTACATGTTTTTGAAAACTGTCGGTCAAAAGCTCTTTACTTGTTTTAAAAATCAGACTCTATTAGAAATAAAATTTTCTGATTCTGATTCTGCAGAATTTTTTTCCATATGTTTCTTTTTTAGAGCTGGATATGCTGTTTGACTTCCTTTCAAGAAAGCTTCCACCTAACGACATGTTGATTTTTTCTACTCATCTGGATGGATCCCAAATGGCACAAACAGCACATTCCCTTAGAAATCCTTCAGATACATACTTCAGGATCCTTCACAACTGGAAATGTAAAACACCCTCCACTGACCATAGGTCCAAATTAAGGGAGATTTTTTCCTCAATGGAGAGGCAAGACTTGGTGGAGGAGGTGGATAATTTTTCTCTAAACCACTATCAATACTCTGGACCAGTGGTTGAACCAATGACTCGATTAACTATACTTGACCTGAGTGAATTGGCCAATAATCTAGCTACCAGATATTACCATGTTGTACGCTTTCTCGGTGCAAGGCAACGTAGTATAGATCAAATCGAGGCAGATCATTCTAATGCTATCAGAGAACAGATTTATCAAGTATTACTAGCAATGATTAGAGCTAGACCTGACCTGACCAGACAAGATGTTTGTGATGCTTTATTTTATGCTGATCATGTAGATGTTATTGATATTCTTAATTCCAAATGGAGACTTGGAAGTTGAAAATTTTTGATGTAATATTAAGTGTGAAAGAAGTATTATGGTAACCTCATATCTTCATTTTTTTCTTCCCTTTTTAGCTCTACTGGTCAGAGACCAGAATAGCTTATGCCATAGTAAGGTGAGTGTTGTCTATCTTGCTCGGTTTAACAAGACTTTGTATTCTCTACATGTTCTGAACAGGTAATTCCATGGTAATGAAGATGGCAATTTGAGAAGACTTTATCATAAAACTTGAATGACTTTAAAGTAGTGTTCAGTTTATGATTAAATACTCTAAAAAAGGCTCATCAGTTGTAGAAACTCCTTGCTAATCTGTTTTTTCATTTACATGATTGTTACTTTTTTTATCAGATATTTTCTTAATTGTGTAATGTTCAACCCAAGTACCCAAATATTCCTCATGTGTTATAGTAATCAAACTTCAATTTTTAGAACATTGAATCATAAAATTGACTCCTTTAATCTCACAATTTCCTCATATCAAAAGTGGAAATAATTTTAAACTGCTCAAAATTATTCTAAATGTATTAGTTTATCGCATACATAACATGTAGAGTAAAACACAATTATAACGAAGTTTCTGGGACGGTCTTTGTTTTAAAGATTAGCTGTCTTAAAAGACCCATGGAGAGTGAAGATCACTTTGCTATAACTTGAGCGTCAATTCGTTATAAGCGTGTTTTACTGTTTACAAAACCATGCAAAACATTTTTTGTGTTAATTTTAAATGCGCAATAAGTTAACTGCAGAATTGTAGCTCTCAGAAAAAAATTCAGTTTGACAGACCAGAGAGGTATATAAGTGCCACCCATTGTAAAAACTGAAAATTTATTGCGCAAAAAAAGTTGTGCTTTTGTAGTTTTGGATTAATTCTTCGAAACTCATACTTAAATCCATAAAAACTCTTCTATCAAGTACTCTTGTAGTTGATATTTGCATGAAGTGCGTTGGACTGAATTATATTGCAAACCAAAGTGGCAGTATAAATAGATGAATTGTTCGATCATCTTAATATCAGGCCAGTGGAGCTGGCGCTATTTACAACAATTACAAGGAATGACTGTTGTGGAAACGGTGAAAGAATGAGTTAGGAACATATGGTTAGTAAAATTTTTAAGATGACAGGTGTTTGAAAATACGATGAAATAAATTGAGAAACAGCGCAACTATATATATTTTTTTAGAAAAACATAGGTGCAGAACTGAGCTCTCCGAAAAAAAAATTTGACAGACAGGAGAGATACAGTGCCACCCATTGTAAAAACTGTAAAGGAGATGGGTGAACTTAGCGTGCAGAAAACCCACTACCTTCAGATATATAAAAATCATATTCAAATTGTGATTTAAGTATTTAGAGTAAAGTTCTCATCATTTGTTTTTATGAATTCATAATAAACAAAAAGTTTTGAGGAAAATTTACGTTAAAATTTATTCTTTTATATAAAAAAATTGTGGTATCCAATAGGTACGAACCCTGGCAATAAAAATCTGATTTGCTTTCTCTATTGAGACTAGCACGCTAACCAGTACGCTACACAAGTCTTGCTGAATTGTGGCATTTAAATCATGTTTGTGATAAGACCATTGAATTCTGGGACTGCAAGTATTTCTCGAAAAGATACGAAAGTTTTGTCATAAAATTATATTTTTATGGTATTGTGGGTCTTTGCTCCATAATTTTGGAAACCAAAATATCTATGCTTTTATGCAAACTTTGAGGATTAACTTTCAAAGAAATGGAGAGAGGACCCACTCATATCGAAAAATAGTATTATAGTGTGAAAAAATGACTCGTTTTGTCCTCTTTTCGTGTGTGTACAGTATTTCATAAGCAAATAACTTCAACCTTCATGAGATTTGTGCATGTTGTAGAGATTTTACATAAAGTATACTTTAATGTTAGATGAAATATTAAGGAAAATTTTGATATAATTCAGATTTAATTTTTCACCTTCATGTTTGTCGCGCTATGCGCTTATCTCTCGTCATGTTCACCCATCTCCTTTATTGCGCAGAAGAACTTACGCAATCGGCAATCCTCGTCTGACTCCGCTACTCTTCATTCAAACCTCGTGATTGGTGGAGTATACGCATCAGATTGATACATTTATCCGCCGGAAACTGCCTTGTCACTCATTTCATATTTCACTCTGCATTAAGTTCTTAGAAAAAATTCTTAATTTGCCGAATTTTCATAACCTTATGTTAGAGGCTTTAAAAGTGTAGTGGACAGTGTATAGGAAACTTAATTTTACTGCCTCGCTAGTGAGCTAGCTTTTCTAGTGATGCGGTAGAGTCTCCCTATATTTCAGGCAAATTAAGCAACGGCGAGCCTGTTTAACCCTTGTATGGAGACCGCTTCACGTTACAAAAGCAAGAAAAAAGTGCTCGACTTGCAACGAAGTAACTCAGATTTCAAATGTAAGAAATTTGAAAGAAATTTAAATAAGATCACATGTCTAAATCAGCACTGAAGACTGTAGATCGCCGTTGACGTCCGAGGTTATGTGCGAGGTACGAGCCATCCGAGGAACTCTGAGTGCACTGAGCACGGACTGAATATACTGTGAGCGCTGTTGCAACCACTATTGAAATAACGACCACTATTGAAATAATTATATCAATAGTGGTTGAGAGTGCATTTCAATAACAAACATAGTTAGTAACCACTATTGAAATACGACCACTATTGAAATATTTATATCAATATAGTGGTTGAGAGTGCATTTCAATAACAAACGTACTAGTAGTTAGTAACCACTATTGAAATACGACCACTATTGAAATAATTATATCAATAGTGGTTGACAGTGCATTTCAATAGCAAACGTAGTTAGTAACCACTATTGAAATACGACCATTATTGAAATAATTATATCAATAGTGGTTGAGAGTGCATTTCAATAACAAACATAAATAGTAACCTTTATTAAAATACGACCACTATTGAAATAATTATTTCAATAGTGGGTGAGAGTGCATTTCAATATATAATAACCATAGGTTTAAACCACTACTGAAATACGACCACTTCTGAAATAATTATTTAATAGTGGGTGAGAGTGCATTTCAATATGGCAACCATAGCTTTCAACCACTGTTGAAATACTGCTAGTATTGAAAGAAAAGTTTCACCGCGTCAGCAACGTTTGAAATACTTATTTCAATATATATTGGTTTCATTGTTTAAAGCACTATTGAAATCAATCATTTAATCCATATTGAAATCTTTATTTAAAAGTGAACATTATTTCAATAGTGGTTGCAACCTATGTTTGTCATTGAAATGAATCTAATCCACTACTGAAATAATTATTTCAATAGTGGTTATTACCTATGTTTGTTATCGAAATGCATTCTCCACCACTATTGAAATAATTGTTTCAATAGTGGTCATATTTCAATAGTGGTTATTACCTATGTTTGTTATTGAAATGCACTCTCAACCACTATTGATATAATTATTTCAATAGTGGTCATATTTTAATAGTGGTTATTACCTATGTTTGTTATTGAAATGCACTCTCAACCACTATTGATATAATTATTTCAATAGTGGTCATATTTCAATAGTGGTTATTACCTATGTTTGTTATTGAAATGCACTAGTCTCTCAACCACTATTGATATTATGATAATTATTTCAATAGTGGTTGTATTTCAATAGTGGTAACTAACTATGCTATTGAAATGCACTCTTAACCACTATTGATATAATTATTTCAATAGGGGTCGTTATTTCAATAGTGGTTGCAACAGAGCGAGTTTTCCTTTCGAACTTTTTTATTCTGAATTTTCTGTATTATATTTTTAGCTCTTCTGAGCCAAAGGCTCAAAGAGCTAATGCTATGGCCATTTGTGCGGTGTGCGGTGTGCGTTAACTTTTTAGAATATGGGCCGTAACTCAAGAACCCCTTGGCCAATCAGTATCAAATTTGTCACAGGGTATCCTTGGCCCAAGGGCTACCTTTTATACTAAAATAAGGGTTGGGACCCTTAAACAAGGGGTTAATCAGGAAAACAAAACGAAAAGTACTGGTTGCTAAAAAATCTTCTCCAGAACCACCAGGCAGATTTCCACCAAACTTACATACAAGGATCAGGATATGTCGAAGATTAAAAATTGTTCAAGGCATCACCCTTGGGCAAAGGGCGTGGTCTCAAGGTCACTTCAAAGTTGACCTAAATTTACAAATAATAAAAACGTTTATATTTTGCTTAGTTATAGGACTAGGATCATCAAATCTTGTAAGTTGATGCATCTTAGGACTTCACATCATGTTAACACAAAAGTAGGTCACGGTGACCTACTTTTTAAATTTTGTGGGCATTTAAAAAAAAAAATTGATTTGAAGGCATATTTTGGACACTTTAATGCCTATGATCATCAAACTTTGTCAGTTGATGCATCTTGGGTCCTTGAACAACGACAACTTAAAAGTAGGTCACCGTGACCTACTTTTTGAACTTGATGACTAATTCTTTTTATAACATTTAATCCCATTATTTCAGACACTGAGAGGTTTAGAATCATTAAATCTTGTAAGTTGATGCATCTTTGGACCTTAAAACGTATTTATGAAAAAGTAGGTCACTGTGACCTACTTTTTGAATTTTGCAGGCATTTGTTTTTGAATTGTTTAAAAAGGCATATTTTGATTACCTTCAGACCTAGGATCATCAAACTTGGTCAGCAGATGCATCTTGGGACTCTGAAAAATGTCGACCAAAATGTAGGTCACGATGACCTACTTTTAACATTTTATGGCTATATTTTAGTATCTTAGGTATTTATTGGCTTAGAATCATCAAACTTTGTGAGTTGATGCATTTTGGGTTTTCGGAGAGTAACAACCAAAAAGTAGGTCACTGTGACCTACTTTTGACATTTTATGGCTTTATTTAAGTATCTTAGGTATTTATTGGCTTAGAATCATCAAACTTTGTGAGTTGATGCGTCTTAGGTTTTTGGAGAGTGATGACCAAAAAGTAGGTCACTGTGACCTACTTTTGACCTTTTATGGCTTTATTTATGTATCTACAGTACTTATTGGCTTAGAATCATCAAACTTCATCAGTTGATGCATCTTGGGTTTTCGGAGAATGATGTCCAGAAAGTAGGTCACAGTGACCTAATTTTTTTACATTTAATGGCTTTATTTAAGTATCTATGGTACTAACTGGTTTAGAATCATCAAACTTTGTTTGTTGATGCATCTTGG